TACGATCAATAGTGACAATGATCAACCGCCAGTTGTCGATCCTTACGGCTGACTCCATTTCCCCAAAGCCTCATATGCGCCATATCGAATAACGTTATCCCCAGATATTACATTGTTTGTTTTATTCTTTTATTTATTTATTTTTCCTACTCACTGTACCAATCACGCACCCACAAGAAAAACGAACGTATCACGTACCACAAAGACCTACGATTTCGTTAATTTTTACCATTTGCTGATTTCTGACTCGGTTGTGAATTGAGAACTCAACTTGGCTTCGGATCTTACGGAATGCTTCAGACCAGACGGATCACTCAAATTCTCAGTCTCTCACTGAGTGCATGGTCCACGCCTTCCACGTTCTGTGGAATGAAGCACAGACTCCGATTATCGGATTATCAGCGAGGGATATCCTTTCGAACAAGGCATAGGATACTCACAGAATGTCGTCATTCTCTATGACAATTAGCACCGTACATTATACTTGAAGGCTATTGTTTATGCAGCGTAAGGAGTTTATAACCTATCGACCACGCCATGGTTAACGGGCCGTGCGAAACTTTCCCGACGAAAACAAGGTACGGTGAACTCAATCGCATCTATTCTTTTGAGTCAAGAGCCCAAGGGATAATAAAGGGAATGTAATTTCGGCTATGGCTTAAGCCTCTCTGTTTCGGGGGATTTGGATCAAGAGACCAGAGCGTAGGCTCCAGTCGCTGGTTAACCGCCAGGTACGCTCCAATAATGCACTTGGACTAAATAGTGTGATATACTTGCCACGCACTGTATCCGGAAAGATCGGATTAATGTGCACAACTACAAAAACAACAAATACACAAATATATGCTGTCTATGGCATTGCTAGTAGGAAGTGAGAGCTGGACCACGTTGATAAACATGCCAAGTCAAGTGTCTGATGCGGTCAGCAGATATTCTTAGATGGCATGTCTCGGATGAGTCTGATCGGTCGCCACAGCGTACAAATCACCATTCTTATAAGCTTACAGTATTGCGGTGAAGTACGGGGAAATAAAAACTGAATGCGTGGCGCGTAGAAATACGAATGCGCCATCTAATGGCCACACAACAATAGGCTCCATAGTTCATAAAACGACATCTGAGGGGATTTCTAGCGAACTGAGTGGGGGAACATCACTTCTTTGTCGCCCCTCCCTCGCTTCTTGGTCGTTTTACTGACTAACTTCTTTTTACTGATTTCATTTCACCCTTCATCTAACGTGAATGGGATCAGATCTCCCGGTCCACTCTTTTAACGGGTCCTTTCTCCACAGCTTTCCCCAGTTCGCTCTTTTGGTGACCTTCACTCGCTTCTCACCTCTCTCATCTCTCTCAGAATGGCCAGTCCTGTTCAAGGCGAATATCGCCAACCCCTGCCGAGTCCGCCGGCGGCCTACCTCCGATCAACACCTCCATTTCCTCCCGAATCGACTCCTCGAACCATCACGAATCGCCCCCAGAGCTTGAAGCTTAGTCGCAAACCAGTTCCCCCTGCACAGTCGGACAGATCACCTGTGATTCAAAACTCGCCCCGCTCACCGGTCAAGATCGATCATGGCGCACTCATCCCTCAGCCGTCCAGTGCACAAATTGAACCCCCGTACAATGGCCCCATCACACCCCAATTGGAGCTCCCCGAGTTCACAGACATGACGCTCGAGGATTCAGTGCAGCAGCCGCGTCAGAGCTGGAACCCTTCATATCCCCCGCGGAGGGACTCAACACAGGCCCCGCAGTACACACATCCGCACCCCTACGGACACACTCCCGCTAGCAGCGGGTCGTGGTCAGTGGTAGAGCCCAAGGAAGACGGGGGACACGGGAACCCGAAAAAGAGCGGCTCCTCTCTAGACCGCGAGGGTTTGAGCTACAATAGTTCCTCGAGGGGCAGCTTGGATAGCGTGGCGCACGCGTCGGACAACTACGAGCCTCTTGCCTACCACCACCAGCAACAGCCAGCGAAAACTGCAGGCAAGTCCGTGCCAAATCCCCCAGAGACCCCATCAGGATCGACAGACAAGCTAGCAGTGCGACGGTCGAGGCTGGCACGCCCTCTCTCGGCATACTCGTCCAACTCCGATGTGGGAGGCCACCGCCGCAATCTCTCCGCATCGCCGTACCTACAAGGCCGCTCCGTATCACGACACTCCACCGCATCCCCAGATACACGGCCTCTGTCAGTCATCGACCTGCTCAACACCTCCTACCCCCAACCAGGACCGTCAGCCGTCCAATTCGACAATTCCCGCCTCCAGGCCTCAGTCGGCAATAATGCCTCCCTCCTCAGCCACAAAGAAACCTTCGAAATGTACCTAGCAAACGTCAAAAAGACCGATGAGCCAACAGTCCTCTACGAATTCGCCGTGTTCATGATAAACTCCATGCGCGAAATGCCAGCCGTCGACCTCGAAGACTCAAGCCCAATCACCCGCGCCCGCCTCCTCCGCGAATCAAAATCTATCCTCCAACGCCTCGCAGACCGCAGCTACCCCTTCGCCCAATACTACCTAGGCGACGGCTACGCCTCAGGCCTCTTCAACAAAGGAAAAGAAGACCACGACCGATCCTTCCCCCTCTTCGTAGCAGCCAGCAAACACGGCCACGTCGAAGCCTGCTACCGCACAGCCCTCTGCTACGAATTCGGCTGGGGCACCCGCCCCGACGGAGGCCGTGCCGTCCAATTCTACCGTCAAGCCGCGTCAAAGAACCACCCAGGCGCAATGATGCGCATGGCCAAAGCCTGTCTAGCCGGCGACATGGGCCTTGGCAAGCGCTACCGCGAGGGTATAAAATGGCTAAAGCGCGCCACCGAGTCCGCAGACGCACAGTACAACTCCGGCCCGTACGAGCTAGGCGTACTCCACGAGACAGGATTCGGAGACGACGTCTTCCCGGACGAGGCATACGCCGCGCAACTGTTTACCAAATCCGCTGAACTGGGCCACGTCGAGGCGTGCTACAGACTTGGCGATGCATACGAGCACGGCAAGCTAAGTTGTCCGCGCGATCCAGCGCTCAGTATCCATTTCTACACGACCGCCGCGCAAAATGGGCATCCGCTCGCTATGATGGCGCTTTGTGCTTGGTATCTTGTTGGGGCGGAGCCTGTTCTGGAGAAAGATGATGGCGAGGCGTACGAGTGGGCTGTGCGGGCTGCGCATTTGGGCCTTGCTAAGGCTCAGTATGCTGTTGGGTATTTCACTGAGATGGGCATCGGGTGTCGACGTGATCCGCTCGAGTCGAATGTTTGGTATGTTAAGGCTGCTGAGCAGGGTGATGAGCGGGCTCGGCATCGTATTGCTACGATTAGTGCTGCGGCCGATGGGGTGCGTTCTAAGGGCTCCGGGAATGGTGGGAGATTGAGGAAGTCTGAGCCGAGGGCTCAGGCTCAGGTTCCAAGTCAAGGTGAGTTCTTGTGATTCGAGCTTTTTGGTATACTTTTCCTCTGACATTCTTTTTTAGAACCCGAGAAACCGAAACAGAAGCGTTTTGTCATTTTCTGAGTTCATCTACGACGCCATTTACGATCCCAACCCATCTCGTCTCATTCCATCTCTTTATATCTACTCACTTGCATCCCCACCCAGCCATTTCTGCTAGCTATTTCCATCCATTCCATTCAACCACACCCTTCGAAAATAATACATACATAATCAAGACCCAATCCCGGTGTCTTGCACTATCTTGCATATCCTCATGCCAAAGACCTGAACAGTCATTTTTTTCTCAGCGATCCAATCTCATCTTCCTATCTCGAACCCAGCATTCGAAACCCCAACCTTTGTATACCACTCTCCTTTCTGCACACTTCGCATATTCGATCTCATCTCGCATGTCACATTGGTCTTTGTTTGGGTTTCCTCTCATTTTTTGGTAGTTTCGTTCTTCGTGTCGATCCTTACATAGGTTGTTTTTATCTAGTGGTTTTTGGGGTTCTTTGTTGGTTTATGGAATTTTCAAATGGTATTCACATTTTGCATTCTGCATTTTGCACGCTTTTTCTATTTATATTGCAATACATATCGATTGGTTTCTTTTTGGTAGGTCGGTTAATACTAAGACGTCGTTATGATAAGCTATTATACCATCAAAGTTACATATCTGTGAAGAAGGTATGAGGAACAGCCCCGGTTACATCATATCCATACACCTTCACTGCAATAGGATTCGACGCATTTGAACAACAATGGTATACGATGTACACCAGAGTAATCACATTGCCATTCTCTGCTCGGAAGCAATCAACCTGCATGCCAAAGGCGCTAGTAGATCTCTGACAGTGGAGTTCATGCGAGGTTAAGTCTCGTTCCGACCTTTAATCCCACATGAGTGGATGATACCACCTGCAGCCTTATCTGGTGTACTTTGGGGCTGACGCCACCTGAAGTATTGGGGTCATAGGGTTTGATAACAGCCACAATGAGGTTGAATTCAATTGAATATTTTGTCGGCGAATTACTTATACTCTTGTATGCTGGATCTTCATAAATCATCTAATATTATTGCTCTGGTTTGGAAATATTGTGTAATTGTTAGTCTCAGGATGTGTTGTGTGTGAGAAGCTGGGTTTCTATCTGTGTGATGCGAAATTATATTTGTGCTATATAGGCGTAGGAAGCAAGATGCTTGCTTTTGGCTTCGAGGTCACTGTTGTGAAGTGAAAATGACAAACTATTCGTAGTAAATGTGTTGTGGTATGAAAGTTGCCGCTTGTCATTGTTGTAAGGTCTAGAAAAAAGCCATCCAGATCTTGGGATAGTGTCAAATGAAGCGTAAGGCTTGAACTCGTACAAGGCAAAGCCGTAAATCTGAGAAGTAATAGGCTGCCTTTGTGTTTGTCCTCGCGGCTGCCTCGGCTCACAGGATCTTGTTTACTTCTTCCTTTCTACCTCCTTTGCTTTTCCTTTTCCTTCCTTCCCTTTGATTCCTCTTCCTTGATCAACTTCACCACACACATCCCACTACTCGAGCATCTGTTCAAGATGATGAAGAATCGGGCTTTGGCTCTTACAGCTGCAGACGGCCTGGACAACCAAAAGCGTGTCCAGCTTCTCGAGATCATTGACCACTTCCGCGAGCTGGGGGTCAGCGAAAATGTCTCACTTCCCCAAGTACGCATTACCATGCCCTCTTTCTTCTATGACTGCATTAACTGACCTGATAGCTTGTCGTTGTTGGCGATCAATCCAGTGGGAAGTCTTCCCTTCTGGAGGGACTCACGGGTATCTCCTTTCCTATCGCTAGTGATCTCTGTACGCGATTCGCTACTCAGATTGTTCTCCGTCGAGCACTCGCAAACGAAGCGGCGGGGGCTAAGGTCACTATCATCCCTGGTATAAAGTCCCGACTGGATGAAGGTCTGACCGAGCGTCTTCTTGCTTTCGAGACGAAGCTGCCGGTCAAGAGCTTTGGTTATCAGGAGTTTGACAAGATCTTTGCCGCGGTCAGTATGATGCCTAAATCATACAAAAGTTTACTAACATCTGAGTAGGCTGCCCATTGCATGGGCTTACCTGACCCAAATGCCGATGACATGGAATTCCTTGACAAACGATTTTCGGACGACATACTCAAGATCGTGCTTTCCGGGCCAGACCATCGTCACTTTAGTGTGGTGGATGTTCCTGGATTGTTTCACAGTAAGCACACCGTGGAGAGTCTTGGGGGATATGCACTAATACAAAAAAAGATCCAACCAAGTTCCAAACAGAGGAGGATCGTGGAATCATTCCCGACCTGATCGAGGGCTACATCTTTGATGAACGGACCATTATCCTGTGACTCCACGCTATACCCAGGTTACTCAGCATTCATTTGGCTTACTTTCTTCACAGGGCCGTTATGGATGCGAGAAACAATCTTGCCAACCAAGAAGTGTAAGACTGAAGTTTGGTGAGCTGCAAAGTCGACTACTAACAGTCAGCAGGTTCTCTATGGCGCGCGATGCTGATAGAGCCGGCAAGCGAACCGTTGGAATCATCACAAAGTGTGATGTTGTTCAAGAGGGAGATGAAGCCGGGGTAAGTGACCTACTCAATATGTACGACCTAGACTAATATTGAGCAAGGTTTTGCGTATTGCCAAGAACGAGGACGAGCATCTCGCATACGGCTGGTTTGTCGTGAGAAACCGTACTACCCAGGAGATCAAAGAGGGAGTCACGATCGAAGACCGCCATATTAAAGAGCAACAGTTCTTTTCCTCCACAACTCCTTGGAACCAGTTGAAGAAAGAACAAATCGGCATCGCTGCACTGGGATCCTTCCTCGGGCACATTCTGTATGAGCATAGCCATTCAGAATTTCCAGCTGTTGTGGAAGAATTCAAGAAGCTTTCTTTATCCATTCAAAGCGAGATTGAGCGTATCGGCCTTTCCCGCCAGACCGTTTCAGAGCAGAGACAGTTCCTGATTCGAATTGCGACAGATTATCAGCAGGAGGTTGACAAGGCACTGAAGGGCAATTACGATCCTGGAATTGAGCCTCAGAGCCCAATAAAGCTTCGGATGCACCTGAGAAAGCTCTCTGAGCAGTTTGCTAAGTCTGTGGCAACCCGCGGACATACCAAGGCGTTTCGTACGACACGGGACGCAGTTGACGCCGAGTTCGGTGGTCGACGATCGGATTCTGAAAACATCTATGACTGGATTAGGCGTTCCTATCTCGAGTCTCGGGGCTCAGAGTTACCGGGAACAGTGAACCCCCTTGTCCTTGAGAATCTGTTCCGTGAACAGTCCACCCCTTGGAAAGACATAGCCGCCAAATATCTGGAAAATGTTAGCTCGGCCGTCAAAGACTACAACGAGATAGTATTGAAGATAGTCGTCCTTGACAACGAGGTCAGGGATAAACTCGCATTACTGATATCCATTCGCACGAGCGAGGCACATGGGTTTGCATGCTCCGAGCTTCTCACGATGTTAAAGGGCGAAAGAGAGGGAATTCTGCAAACAGCAAATCACTATTTTGCTGATACACTGTCGTCTATACGCCAAGAGAGAGTTTTGGCGAGACTGGAGAAGCAGGGTCTTCGTGACGGAGCCACTTTCAACATGAGCAAGGTAATGCACGGGGTACATCTCAGTAACGAAGACCAGGCCGTATTTGACATCCATGATATTCTGAAGTCCTACTACAAAGTGGCCGTCAAGCGGTTCATCGACAATGTGATTGTTCATGTCTCCGAACGACACATTATAGGGGATGATGGTCCCTTGAAGCTGCTTTCCCCGGGTTTGATAGGCGAGTTTGAGGACGCAAAATTGACAGAAATTGCGGGTGAAAACCTGGCAATCTCAAAGAAAAGGAATGATCTGGTCAGCAAGGCCGCACGCCTCAAGAAGGCCATGGATATTGCGAAGCAAGTTGCACTCTGATCCAAGACATTCTGTTCATATCTGAGGGCTGGAACAGAGGGTATGGACCAGGAGGCCTTTTCCCTCAGCGTCCCCGAGGTCTTTTTCAAGTTTCTTTCGTATCTCTGGGTTAAAATCTAATTGCGCTTTTCTTTTCCAATTATCAGACTTTGATGTCTAGTTGCTCTGTGTTCAGTAAGTGACCGAGTTTTGAGTCGCCATGTGTTGTATGACGCCATCGCAAACATCCGCAAACTCGGGTAGAATTAACTCACTGCTGTCCATGGTGCGCTTATTTTAAATTGACGGTGGACCTGGGGATACTCTCAAAGCTAAATTGAGACCTTTCTACGTGGTTATCACTGGCAAAGAACACCACCTCCTTTGTTTCAGGTGGGGGTTTCCCCGCCGGGGCAATTTCAGAATTGTGCCGATCAGTAATCCACTGATATCTATATAGTCTTGGGATTTATCTAGGGAGGCTGACATTCTCAACTCTCGACTTAACCTGCGACGAACTATTTTTCCACCAAAATGGCAGTTCATGCGATTTCCAAGCTGGACAACAGTCAACATGCTAGCTTTGATGTCCAGTCTATCCCTCAGTCCGTGTTACCGGAGTCTTCAGTCAGGGTTCGCCCACTACTTATAAGTCTGACCTCGAACAACTTGAGTTACGCCCGAATGGGTCAAATTTTGCATTGGTGAGTAATACGCCCATTATCAAGATTAATCATCGAAGTATACATGCAGAAACTCATTATTACCTCTAGGTGGGACGCATACCCCGTGTCCGAAAACTATCCCGCACCATACAACGACCCATCAACATGGGGAATTGTCCCTGCTTGGGGTTACGCGACAATCGAAGAAACCACAATCCAAGAGTTACCCAAAGGCACAATTCTCTATGGGTTCTGGCCAACAACGAGCACACCAACCGATCTCCAACTCAAACGTGGCGCGACAAACGGTCACTGGATCGAGATCAGCGGACATCGTCAACAGATGATGCCCCTGTACAACCGCTACTTGGTAACACCAACATCAAACCCGATCAGCGACCTAACCACCGCAACCACCCCGTCACCATCCGCCCAAGAAGAAATCGAGCGCATGGCATGGACGGCTCTCTTCATCGGCGGCGTAGCCGGCTACATCCTTAGCGAATACGTCTTCTCATCAGACCCAGAAACCCAACCCTCCATTCACCCCCTAGGAGCAGCATCCAAGCTCCCTTGGTCCCCATCGGACGGCGACATCACCTCAGCGGTAGTGATCAACCTAGCCGCGTCGACAAAAACGGCCCGTGTATTCTCGTACTACGTATCACGAAAGCCGGAGGGCTCAATGCCCCTCGGTTTGTTGCATGTCACATCGTCCGTGTCACGTATCACAGAAGCCGATCAGAACCTGGCCACTCGGATTCCATCCAAGGCTGTTAGCTACGGGGATGTTGGGGCTGGGGAGACTGGGGATTGGCTTGCTGGGCGGAAGCCTGAGAAGCTTGTTATTATTGACTTTGGGGCTCGCGGGAATGCTCTCGGTGACTTGCTTGATTTGGTTAAGAGTCGTGATGATTTAAAGGATTGTAAGGTTGTTATTATTCAGGTTGGGAGTGAGCAGAGGGTTTACTCTACTGAGGAGATGTTGGCTGAGAGGGCGGCTGTGGCGGAGCTTGGGAAGATTCAGTTTAATACTTCTGGTGTTCAAGATACTGTCATTGAGAGGATGGGTCACGAGGCATACTTTGCCATGAAGGATGCGCTTTGGGACAAGTGGTTATCTGAGCGACACTTGATTGTGCCTGGGATGCAGATTGTATGGGGTAAGGGTGTGTCGGGTGATGGTATTGAGAAAGGCTGGGAAAGATTGTGTCAGGGTCAGGTTGGGGCTGAAGAAGGATTAGTTTATAAATTGCAGTAGATTAAATACGAAGTAGCATTTTGCTTTCGTGTTTATAAGTTATATGTGGCTGGCAGCTTGGGTGGATATGCAGATTGAGATGAGCCGAGAGTGACATAAGAGCAGAATAGACAAACACTTGAGAATATCACAAATCAACCGAGATATTAACATCATCAGCCAGATAAGTCGTTCGTTATACATACAAGGGTGCAGGATCGTAGGATGAACGGCTAGACGAGCTTTGACTTGAACTGCGCTCAATGTTCATCTCCGTAACGATTGTACTCCCACAAAGGTCGACGTCAGCAGCCGTCAAAATCATCAGGTCGGACAAGTGGTCATTGTAAGCCGGGGGAGGATGGTCATCCCCCTGCAGCTGTTGGATATCCCGTCCATGGATGAACCCATTCTCACCAATGACACAAGGTGTCATATAGATCTCAATGGGAATAACTTCCGAAATCTAGACCACGGTTAGTCGTAGTACTCATTCCTAAACGGTCAATGCACATACCTCTGCAGTCACCTGGCCCTCTTCATCACAGAACTCCGCCTTTACAGATAAGACATGTTTGATCTTGATGTGCTTCGTGGAGAGACTCTGTGAACAACCACCCAAAGTACGCGGCAAACACACGGAGGTGTTAATGCGCCTTTCCGTCTCCATCGAATCAGCACCCGTCGGCTCACTGCCATCGGCAAAGTCTATCTTCTTTGAAAACACAGTGTGGTTGTGCGCGCAGGTTACAAAGTGTATGTTCTGTCGCACCGATTCGGCGGCCGTAGCATCCAAGCGCACACTTTGTCTCTCCTGGACTTTGACTGTGACTGCGTTGAGCTTGGTGCCTTTGGAAAGCGGAGCAAACCAACACTCCACGGGGAATGTGCAACCAAAAGGAATATTGCGATCAGCGAGGGAAATACAGTATTGGATATCTTGGTCGGATTGACGTTCAAGAGTCTACATATACCAGGCCATTAGCTGTGACACGAAGTCTCGGGTAGGAACATAATAACGAACCAATGGATTGTATGGTCTTAGATAGCTTTGTTCTAGTCCGCAAAGCTGGTAGACATGTATCGGTTGTGAGACCACAAAGTCACTTTTCAGACGTCGCTCAATGACGACTTCAACGTTGTATTTGTGATATTGGTGGTTTGAGCTTATAACGGTCGAGAACATTTTGGATGGAAGTGGAATGCTGAAGAGAAACTCATGGTCTCCGGCCGGCATTTGGAATACATTGAGGGTATTCGTGGATGCGAGTGCCTGCTGACGGTCAAATGTAAGCTGTTCGCGAATCTCCGGGCCCAGGAATCCCTCGATGGGACTATTAACAGCGAGTTTCAGATTATAGTTAACAGTAGGATCTTTGCGAAGGTTTCTTACATCGACAATATTCCTCTGAGTTTCACTTGGATGCTTTTGAAGGCGGCGGGGTGAGCGAGCGAGAGACTAAATCTCCCAGTAATGGAAGGTGATAGCTCCTCATGCCTTCCTTCTTGGACGAAAATGCATGATTGATCGAGCCTAAAGAAATTCTAGTTAGAATCATAATAAATAACCAATGATGTAACGCAGCTAGCATACCTTAACTCAGAGCTAGCTATGTCTTTGCCGAACATGCTGCGAACTGAGGTGCTTTTCAAGCTTAAAGAATTGAACCTTGAAATCATAGTTCTGTGAGATTCCAGCCGGTAGATTTAATTCCGTGGGAATCATCGCACTTTATTTACGCTGTACTCGCGTCGGCGAAGAATGCGGACTTTCCCAAATTGGGTCGGAGTCCAGATTCCAACGGACGGAACTTTATCTTGGCCTTGGTCACGTATGAAATCATACGGAGAAAACATGGGGTATGATGATTTGGCTATTGAAAACTTGTTCCGTGGTATCTTTCTATACATCCCTTGGTCAATCAAATTCTAACCCCGACATGTCCAGATCCATTAACAGCTGATCATTGCCACTGGGGAAGTTAACATCAGGGAAATTGTTGAAAAAAATGTCATAGTCTTCGATTCCAGGAGCTCCCAGAAATGGATTCGCGACGGAAATATCCAAATTGGACAAGTCATCTGATCGTAGTTGGATATCGAGAGGGCGTACCCTCTCTATTCTAGCCTCTGCCCGCCCCAACCCTTGCATACAGTCCACGCTGGAGGGTGACCCCAAAACTTCATCCTCATCATGGTGTGAGCGCCGATATCCCATTCTTCGTCGAGAGTTCGGTCGGAGAGTATCATTCACTGGGGCTGTGGAACCTTGATCATCTATGGTGGGCTGGATGCTGTCCAGCACGCGATTTCCTAGTCTAGCCATCACGGCAGTAGACCACCATGTAGAAGAAGACTGTTCGAGACATTGATGAAATTGACGCATTTGCTCAATGGCTGTGTGGCGGGTGCTGGCTAGTTGGCTTTCTCTTAGTTGTTTGTAGGTTACTGAGAAAGCGAGGGATATAGTGTAACCGAGCATTGGCAACGGGGATAGGATTTGAATATCCCTCTTTTGGATCAGAGACGCGATAGAGAAGATTGAATGGGTTTGTCGAATACTTGAATTCCTTGGCCGTGAACGCCCTTGAAGGCCATCGGAATGTGTGGAGAGAATAGTAACCGCGTGATACAGGAGCTCGCACGTCTCTAATATATATTAGTACCCGTCCAAATGAAAATCAGTAAGTATTTAAATATTTCATACCAAGCAAGTCTGATGATAGTTTCCACGCATCACAATCCTCAATAAGTTCTTCAAAGGCGGGAAGCTCAAGTTCCTCATGATCAACCCCATTGATGATCGGCCGATAAAATAGAATCACCCTACCCAGTTTTTCAGCGATACGAAGCCAGAGCCGAAATGAGGCTGGGAACGATGAGATAACGTCATCCACTCGCTGGTTCATGTCGCGGTCATGTATCATGATCGGTCTTCCATTCATAGCAGCATTCCATTTGTCCAGACTCCACAAACACCAAAATAGAGCCTTTAGTGAGGTAGTAGGCTGCTGGTCTGTCCTCATCAAATGCATACCGATGGTATGTGCATGGTGGATGGCCTGCGCCAGGTTCAAAGAACGATCTTCGGAGCCAGTAGGGCCCCATTCGTGGAGCGACAAAAGGGTCAAGATTTGAATGTAGATTATCTTCTTTCTGGGTGTCCTTGGTATATTTTGCATGATGTCGGTATAGAGTATACTGTTAAACCTCTCCAGTTGGAGAATTTCCGAGCTCTGGCCGAGGCGCAGAAGAGGTCTTGTGGTCCGGTCTTTCGCTGCGACAAGACATATCGTTTGGAGAAGGCGAACATGCAGAGAGCCTGCTTGAAAATTGACTCGCACTGTCTGCTCATCGAGAAGAGGCAATATGGGGTGTATTCGACGGAAATAGACGTCTATCAAAGCTTCTTGGCTCTTTTTCGGTGGCAGGTAATCTGTGTTGATGTCTGTTGGCTGCGAATCCGACCCCCGCGGTAATTGTAGTGGGTTGCAGTTCTGCGATGAATCAAGGTAATCCTGTTCAGGGCACAACCACGCTCCTACATCGCCTTTCTGGCCCTGTCTGTTCTTTAACCGTGATTCGTCCTTTTCCATCAAAGTCGCCATTGGGTTCGAGTCGCATGCAAATTGACGGGACTCGTGCTCTTGATCTGTGAGTCGACTTGCCTCAGAGACAGTTGAGCTACCGGCCTCATGGTTCGGGGACCTTTCAAATGTGTAGTCACTTTGTTGTTCTCTGGTTGGAGATGCGGATCTACCTCGGATCCCTGAGTCCCTTCTCGAGCGTTCATGGGTGCCATAGGGAGTAGGAATAAGGCTGGAATTATGATGCAGTCCCTTTGAAACGTCCGTCTTGGTCGGTACTTCATTGTGGTAGCACCGTTTCTAAGGAGAATTAGGGTGGATGTTCAGGACTGATGTATATCTGTGGCTCACTTTTTTCTGACGACAAGAGTTGCACGCCCGCCTTACCTGCCCTCTTTTGACATTGTCTCCGTCACGGCTAATCAAAAATGTCAGTTCCATCATGAATCATATCTCAATTATAGAGGTTAGGAGTTGCGGTTCTTTCCCGGAGGCGGAGGTAGAAGGGTGCCCCGCCACCGGAGCGGGCGGCGACTTGCCTAAAGCAGAAAGTCCGAATCTACGCGACATCAACATTCTGTGTTAAGGACTTTAATTCTTTTGATAAAGCTTGCTCAGTGACTGCAGAATATGCTTCTATCAGTATCTGCAGCAGGATTATATATGATTACAGCTAGCGCCTTGCGGTGATATAGGCCTAACCCAATTGGTCTCCAATAACACTTCCTTTACGAAGGGATGACGTACCTCTGTCCTTTCCTCACTTGGAGCATTTGCTGCCCTTTCACTCCTAGCGTATTCCTTTAGCGACCCAAAAGCCAAAAGAAAGGGAGAAAGCACGATGACAGGCATTTTCACCCGTTATAATTTCTTTCTCGATCAAACCCCGGATTTGGAAGGGCAAGTGGCAGTGGTGACGGTATGTCTCCTGTCTACCTGATCCATAAACTACCTGGCATTAACCAAAATAATCCTTCAGGGTGGTCAGGGAGGCATCGGTAAAGGTAAGGCATAAGTTGCTAGGAAATTATTCCTGTTCCAATATCCACAAGGTTCTTACCAAGATCGTCTAGAGATAACAGCCCAGCTTTTGCTCCATGGAATTAAACAGATTATTGTCCTTGCTAGAAGCGAAGACAAGTTCCATGCTGCGTGCGAAGATTGGAGTCATCGCGATGGAATTATCTGTGACGAACTGCATACCCGTGTACAGTTTGTTCGATGCGACCTATGTGATATCACCGAGGTCCAAGCTGCCGCAAAAGAAATAAGTAAAAAGACAGACCGTGTCCATATTTTGATGTGCAATGCAGGTGAGTTCGCAATCATCCATTACTTTGGCTTCTTCCGATTGACTAGTGTACAATATTAGGACTTGGAGTTCCATATGAATATAAGCTTTCACCACAGGGTATTGACCGAGTCTTTGCCGCCAACTGCGTCGGTCACCAGGTACTCGTTACTCTGCTCCTCCCCTTGCTCAAAGCAGCCGTTACAACCGCCAACAACGGCGTACGTATAGTAGTTACAAGCTCATCCTTACATAGTGTATGTCGGGGTATTGATTTCGACTTGCTGACCTCTCCATCACGTGTGAAATGGCCCGCTGTGTTCGATGGGGTGTGGCGATACGGTCGGTCGAAGCTGGCGAACATTCTATTCTCCAAAGAACTTAGCCATCGACTCCTACAAGACACAGACCCAGCTAGCAAGAGAATCTACGTCAACTCTTTTTTCCCAGGTAACATCGTCACGGACCAATGGGCATCCTGGGATTCATACTTCGGCACTCTGATCGGCTCATTGATACGCCTTGCGGGTTCGTTCTTCGGCCAAAGTCTGGAGCAAGGCGCCACCACCGCTGTATACCTCGCCGCAAGCGCTGATGTGAGCAAACATGATTTTCGCGGTCGTTACTTTATACCGGTTGCTATGCCATGCGATCCGAGTCCGATGGGGAAGAATATGATATTGGGTCGGAAGCTTTGGGTATGTTCTACCGCAGCCTCGCATGTAAGGTTGCTAACTTTGGAGCTTCACTTAGGATTGGATCGATGACAAAATGAATGAGACACTGGGCCTGAACTGGCAAAGCGCGATATCGCAAAAGGAGCTAGAAGCTCCTACGGGTCGCCGAAGCCTAGATGCGGACTCTGCATAATTTTTTCTTTTACCTTCATGCCGCAGTTAATTGAAAAGGTTAGATTCCAGCGTGAAATAGAGTCTATCGGTAATGTATGTGTAGGTTGTAATAAGAGACCAATTGCTGGTCCTCTATGCGAAGCCAAGGGTCATGCCAGAGACGTGCTAATGCCGGTCCCATGAAAAAGGAGCAAATCAATTAGCTATAACAATGGGATTTTCCCCCCTTATTGTCCTCCAGCTATTGCTTATTTCAATCAATTCCTCGCAACCCTTTAACAGCCATGCCCATTTCTTAAGGAATCCCGGAGTAGCCTCCCAGCTCTCTTTCAAGTGCGCCTCCCCCCATACAATCAGGCCTTTGCGCCCAGCAGTGACCATGTCTTCATCTTCCCCTTGAAGTAAAAATTTGGCAGAGGTCGAAAAGGATCCAGATGTCTCTGGCGTGATAGATAAATTATCGTTCACCAGGTCTCCAAAGAGGTCCTTCAGAAAATCCACAACGTCCACATAGGCCTCCCATTGAATCAGATTGTCCCGGATTTGTGGAAAAGGAAGCATGTCAATCCAGTTAGAGTGAGGATGAACCATCTGTAAAGATGTTGGAAGGAGTGAGCTTGGAGGGCCCGGATAGAGTGGGTGTATGACCGTGGGACCATCGCAAAGTCGTCTGCCACGTTGCGGATTGTCAACATCATCAGTTGAGGTGACTATTGTCGCAAAATTCCTCAAGACATCTTTATTGGAAACAAGTGCACGAAATACATTGTAGTGGATAAGATGTAGTAGATGGTCAGATGGGAGAGGAAATAGTATTTGGGGAGATTCGTCAGACTCTGCTGAAATGGCAGCTACCCCTGACCTTTGGTGAGAATGTCCAGACACAGGCGCAAATTCAATTACACTTCCAATGTTCTGACGGAATGAGGTTTGATTTGCCAATTCGTTCATCAAGTTTGGTATATTGTCGCTGGGTTGGGAGACTTTGTCGTTCGCAACTCGCCAACGATCCACTCGGTACGGGCGGCGTCCAGATATTGGATTTTGGGCTTTTATCTCGCTGATTCGTTTTCCTAATGCACTCAGTTAACTAGATTAATCGAAGACAAAACACAGTAAGCTTCGCAGAGAGCGGTATACTTACTATGAGCTCTTTGATTTATCCGATTCTGGATTTTCTTCCGCTGTTTCCTATCTTCGATGTTTGTCCAGTCCTGATTGAATTTTTCCGCCTCTATGGTATGCCAAATAAAATTTGACGATAGGTCAAGGCCTTGGTGATCTCTATTCTTTTGGGTATCCATTTCTCTGGGAGCTTAACAGGCACGAAAAAGGAGAGAACTGTCAGCTTCCAGGCGGCCGGAAAGTAAGGATAGATTCGTCTAACTTTATATATCGACAAGGGCACATTGGCGAACCCATGTGACAGCTAGGCTAAAAGAGGCAAAACAAGTCAGCCAGTCCCACATAGTTGAACTTTAAATATGGAAAGGAAACGGCAACGCTCGGAAGGATGAGACCTAAGGCTTAGCATATCACCCACCACTTTCTTCGAATTAGACTAAAGAGGCTAAAAATAGTCAGCAAGCCCCATATATTGAACCGTGAAATCAAGGGGAAACCGGCGACGAGCTAAGGCTCAGCCGTATAACCACGAATAGATTAAAAGAGGCAAAACTGGTCAGCCAGTCCCAAAGGTTTCTGGCCAGGGCGTCAACGCAATAGAATGCGAGGACATACGAGATATATAAATATGCTGCTTTCCCCTTTCACTTTTCGTCTTTCTATCAACACAAGAACCATTGTTTCACTTCTTCCGCCGCTATTCATTTCAACGTCAATTCTGGCAGTCTTCACACGTCCACTGCTTTCAGATGTCTCGATACGCTAAAGCTCACGTTAGTCCGGAGGGACCAGGCGACTCTCGACCAACAGCATTGCAGGTGGTCGAAGATGAAGGAATGGAAGGAAAGCTTGAGGGCAGAGTGATCGTCATCACCGGAACCTCGTCCGGCCTTGGTATTGAAACGGCGCGTGCTCTCTCCATTACTGGAGCGACACTTTTCTTGACAGCTAGAAATGTCAGAAAAGCCAAGGATGCCTTGGCCGACATCTCTGAGCCGGGCCGTACGGAGTTCATCGAAATGGATCTAGAATCCTTCGAAAGCGTACGTGCCGCTGCGACGGCGATCCTCCAAAAAACCGACAAGGTCAATATTCTGATCAACAACGCTGGAATCATGGCAGTGCCAGGTCTTGAATTTACCAAAAATGGCCACGAGTTGCAGTTTGGCACCAACCACCTCTCTCATTTCCTCTTCTTCCAGCTGTTGAAGCCAGCGCTACTGGCCGCCACGACGCCTAATTCCCATTCTCGAGTTGTCAATGTGTCCTCTGCCGCCCACCGTCTCAACGGCATCAATGCAACAGACAACTACAACTTCGAAAAGGGGGGGTACAACCCCTGGGTATCCTACGCGCAATCGAAAACCGCCAACATATACATGGCCAATGAGATTGAGCGCCGCTATGGATCTCAAGGGGTACATGCAACGAGTATTCACCCTGGTGGAATTGCAACTGGTCTTTCGAAGCACATCCCCGAAGCAGATCTTGCGGCAATGTTAGAAGATGAGGCTCTAGTCAAGAGCTTGAAGAGCCCGGAGCAGGGTGCTGCGACCACGGTGTGGGCTGCTATTGGCAAGGAATGGGAGAATAAAGGGGGCAAGTATCTCTCTAACTGTGCCGAGGCGAAACGTGGAGACGACGTTAGCGATATGACAAGTGCGGACTATGCCAGTCACACCTACAACAGGGAGAGCGAAGGCAGACTTTGGGAGGACTCGGTGAAAATTGTGGGATTAACCGATGATCAGTAGTGGACATCATGAGATGGCCAAGGAATTACCATCCATGTCAAATTTGGTAACTAGTCAACTGCAATATCACCAAACAAAGTTTTTGCATTATTTGAAACCACGTGGAAATGGGTGAAGGCACGACAAAGGGCCCTATGGACATGTCATGCAAGGTACATATTCCAGGGCCTTGTTATCTTATTTGAATGACAGATTGTGCAACGTTAGACATGATTACAGCAAGTGTTCATAAACTGGATGATTTGAGTCTACCCCAACAGCACAAGCATTTTGTAGGCTCTTTTTAGTGCGAAGCAACTTTTAGCGATCTCCGCCTGCTGCATTGGCCGTTCTGCTGACAGTATGTTGGCAAGTTGCCCTACAGAAAGCATCGTAGAGAATCGATAACACTGAGATATTATTGATCATGTAATTCAGTGCCTAGGGCTTACAGACCTCAGTAGGCCCAGAATCTCGAAAGTTTATTTCGCCGCAGGAGCGTGACTGAGTAAAGCGGGATATTTTAAATAGTACAAGGAATATCTGTAGACGAATGTAGGAAAATGTGCCGTTTCTTGTCCGTTTAGTCTGTACTATTGCCCGGCGAGCGAGCAGAATAGACCCTACGAACGACCTTTTGGCTCGACCCAAAATATCTTCCTATAACTCTGAAATCCATGATCGGTAGTATCAACACAATATAAGCAAGAATGCGGTAAAGAACACCTATTGAGAAGATTAAACTAATAACATCAGTCAGCTGCATGGACCAAGGACGAGGGTGGATTTGACATACCAGATGTCGAGCGCGGTTCTTTCTGTTACATAGCCAACAAATCTCGCAGCAGCATCAACGTCGTACAAATACGAGAAGGGGACGATATGTTCACTGAAAAAGGCCTCGGCGTACCAAGTCTACTCTCTCGATGTCAGCAATCACCAGGAAAAATACAGGAAGAACGATTTCGCAAAAAGACTTACACCAGGGCACATATACCACAGCCATCCCATACCCCATGATTTGACAAGTGTTAGACGCGGGCCAAAGCCGTCCAGAACCCCGCATATCAGGCTTGCAAGCATAGCCAATAATAGTGCATCCTGGCGCTTGACAAGCGACGCCACAAGCGACGCAAGCCCATAGATACCTAGATGTACACTCAGCATGGTAACACTTCGCAGAAGTAAATGTTTTCTCACAGAAGAAGTATACCACATTAAGTGAGAACAAAATGTGAAAAGGGATTACGGTGGTTGCGAGAATCATGTAGAATGTTGTGAATTGCAAGGACGACACGAGAATCCGGGGCCAGGTGGCTAAGTCTTTTCCAAGCAAATAGGCGCTTGCTGAATGACCCGTGTAGACATCCTGGTAGAAAATAAGCTCTGATATAATGCAGTTAGTAAAAGGGCCGTAACTATGTATGAATATTTCACGAACTCTCATCAGCAATGATCCTTATTCCAGCTGGTGCAGCTGAAAGGCCTATAGCAAAAGAGTTTAGTCTCAAGTTTGAATCTAAAACGTCTTGATGTAAAATATCTACTTACTGATTGCCAGACTACACAGTAAACCGGCAGTTGGAAGGGTGGTATAGTTGACTGCGCTTGATAAGGGACCGAAAGGCTGTCGGAAATAGCCCTGAAATATGTGGCCTTTGAATTCGTGTATTGACAAGCCAATTAAAATCCCTGCAGCTGCCGAGGTGCCAATTTCAAGTACTAGGCTAAAAATCTGTCGATGTTGCTGCTTGATGCCACATAGCAGATATAAAAGTACCTGACGGTACCAGGTCGCCTTGTGTTGAACGAATGATGTCCTCAACTCCGCCACCTGCAAAGTGCTTTCACTTATTCTGTCTCCCGAGGGCATTGGTAAACAATCAGTCGGACTTCTTTGATAATGATGCGAAGCTGAGGATGGTAAATTAGTGACGCAGTCTATGATAACATCAGCAGGATTACATCCTGCGGGAAAGACACTGCCAAGTGTTTCAAAATGCTTATGCGCAGTAGATGTCTCCCCAAGGTAAATTTGTTTGCCAAGATTCAAAACAATAATGTCATCTAGCAGCTGGTAGATGTCTCTCCGAGGCTGATGAATAGCGCATATGACGGTGATACCCAAGGTTGATAGCGATTTCAGCAGGTTCATTATCGATAGTGCGGTTGTTGCATCCAGACCCGAAGTTGGCTCGTCCAGAATAACTGCCATCGGCATAGCAACAATCCCAAGGGCAATGGAAACTCGCTTTCGCTCACCCCCGGAAATACCTCTGTTCTCAATGCTTCCCACACGCTGATCCATCACGTGTGTTAGTCCGAGATAATCGAGGATTTGGTTCACATGCAATCCTATCTTGGCGTCATCCCATAGCCCACCGAGCCGAATACGCGCGGCATGGAGAACATTTTCTTTGACAGTGAGATCTTCCAAAGCAATATAATCTTGTGGTACGAGACCAATGACGCTATGAAATCTATAAGACCCGTGAGAAATGAACGTTTCCGCGTTTTAGCACTGCACTGACTTCGTCGGGTCACCTGAAACCCCATTGATAGATATGGACCCGTAGGTGAGCTTGGATCTTCCCGCCAGAATGTTGATGAATGTTGCTTTTTAGCTTTAGCACAAAGCGCAGCTGTATCGGGTATAGTGAACTTACACTTTCCTGCTCCAGAAGGCCCCAAAATTCCAAAAAGACGGCCTTTCATAATTCTTCCTGAAATACCTTGCAAGATTGGATGCAACTTATCACCCAAGTTGCATTGTATCTCGCGAAGAGAGAACTCCAAGCCTAGTTCGTGAATGTTTCTGTCTTTGATCAACGTTTCAAATATACTGTGTGACTTGAAATCCATGGGATTCTCTGCAACTACCCTTTCCCCAGAAGTCGACACATCGGTTGTGCTGGACGCTAGCTGTACCATTTCGGTGTCAGGCCTCCTGGTCCTTTTCCTTTTAGTGTATCTTTCGAGTGTCACCCATCCTTGAATGGTTTCCCATCGCTCTGAAAATTTGAATGACATAAGCCACAGCAGATATATCACTGCTAAAGAGACAATTCCGACCAGCGAAAGCTCTCGCTCGCTCCCCTCTGGACAGATGGATAGAGCTTTGCATTTGATCGGTTGGTATGTGCCTTGAGGACAATAGTAGCCTTGTTCACATCGAATTTGTTCCCGTCCACCAGGTGGGCAATAGTGTCCCGGGAAGCAAACAATAGGTTCGTAGGGCCCTTGTGGCGTGGAACATATGTTGTCAACAGGCTTTGACCGAATGGCGTGACATGCCTCCGTTGGTGGGCAAAAGACCGGTGGATACCCCGTTGTTGTATTGAGGCCTACAGAGCATGGATCAGATTTAGCCACTTTGAGGGACATGCGAATTGTTCGGTTTTGGTGCTATCGGATGGTGAAAAGGGAAAAAAAACATTAGCTCACATACAGAGAAATCCCAGAGCACATGAACTAGCATTGCTAAGGGGAATAGGCGCTTGTCCCGTAAGGCAGGTTCCGTTGCCCATGATGCAAAATCGGCAATGTAGCTATTTTGGGGCGTGTCTGGAAGATGAAGTTTGGCCCCGACAGCGATTCTTCTGCCGTATTTGTACGGACTTATTGGGTCGATACATCCGTTTTCCTCGAATCTATAACCGTCATGTAAGCACGAATCTGCATATGATAACAGTGGACTCACTTTACATAAAGATGGCGTGGAACCTATGTTGGTGAGATACTGTCCCACTAAAGGCTTTACGGAAAGGTTAATTGAGATAAATGGAATGCTAAATAATGGGAGGCAAGGGATAAGAAATGTATTTAATAATAGGTACCAGCCTCTGTTTCTCTATTTACTCACGTCCTGTAGCTCCCTCCTCGGAAAATAGAAGGGGGAGTTACGAGAAGGAGAAGTAAAGTTCAACAAAGGTATGCATGAGCAGGGGGGAGTTGCTATCTATGGGGCGGGAGGTGCTTAGCGCCAGTGTACTAGGGGGCATTAGGTGGGGAGTTTGGGGTTATCATAGTTATTCCCGTACCAACGTGCAACTGGAAGGTAAAAGATAAATGACTTGCTAAAATCAGATGTTATGGTTCCTACAGTCACAGCTTATACCCCAAGAAAGTCCGCAAGGACAAGAATAAAACGAAATTCCAGGGCCAAATAACCAACAGTGGTAGATCCCTGCAATTGGCCGCCTCACAGTATTTAACTTCAGGGGAGAACGCAGGTAGTTTGCTAAATTTTTCCTTGTTTCTTTATAGCAAAACAGCCAATTTCTAGGTACGTATCTTCTATGCTCTAGCTATACTAAAAGGTACTAAGCTGCCGAGGCAATCGTAACAAAATGTAGCACCGTCATGCAATCCTTTAAACCCAAAATGAAAGGGGAAGAAAAGACTCTTCCACTTTTTCCGAACGGTCAGCAAGGGAGTATTCTCATTGTTGTTGTTCAGGAGGTCCGTTACCTTTGCTAGCGGTGGATACCGCCAGTCGGCAGGTAAATAAATAAAACCTCCGATACATTCAAGATTCAATCCATGCGTACAACCAATGCAGCAGATTTTCTATTCATACTTCTGTTAGCTGTACGCCGGTGTCCATTACTCGCACTCCTCCGGTTGAGGAACGTAATACAGAAACCAGAACTCTCAACAATGGGCAGCCTGTACAGCGCTGGTTGCCAAGACTTCCTTGGCCTCAGCCCGCAGGATGTTGCCTCTAGCCCCTTATACCTGGACTGTGTGGTCTTGACGAGGGGCAGTAGCTACTCTGCACTCACAACTTCTTGCCTGGTGGCTTTTGCTGGCCTCCTATATCGATGTATTCTCACCCCTACCTTCTTCAGAAACCGGTACAAAAAATCGTACTCGGATTTACAGCCTCGACAACGGAGGACTTTTCAGATGGACCACATTGATTTCATTCTCAAGACCATTTCCCTGACGTTCAGTGTGGGTCCTGTCTACCTGGTGCTTATGCAAGGTAGACGTTGGTCTGATCCATGCTTCGGTACTTCCAAATTTAAGCTTGGAGACTCAGCATTTTTTGCAACAGCTGTTCTTTCCGCACTGTTCTTATTTCAACTTCTTTGTGAAGAAAGGTTGAAGTTTGTGGACACCTTACATCACTATGGTGGTCTACTGATTATTCAAGGATATGCAGCCTGGAACGTGAGCCTACCTGTCGGCAAGCCGCTGCTTTTTGCTGAAGTGAGAATGATGGCAGATATTTGTTTATTGTGGCGTAAGTCTTACTAAGGGCCAGACGCGTTACGGGGACAGCACTTACTCTCTGGCAGTTGTGTTATCCGACGCCTACGGGCTCATCAAGACCGCGAGCCTCATTCTTCGACGGTGCTTCCAACCTGCGACTACGGCGCTTGTGCGCCTGTACATGTTCGCCTTCTGTGCTACCATGGCGATGACAATACTGGAGGCAGTTGTTGTCTTTTACGCTGCCTATCTAAGCTGGGATAAACTTTCCACTCTTTCTAAGGTGACAATTTACGTCCTTCAAGGATTATTCACTTGGTCCAAGTATAACAATAACCTTCCTTTTTATGCCATGTACAAGCAGTCAAGAACGAAATCCTGTATTGCTCGTTGTTACCTTTAGCCGATTGTTTGATACGGGCAACTTAAACTGGTCTGCTTTATCATTGGAAAAATGCCAGCAGATATTGCAGAGAATCAGCGGCTGTCTCTCTATGGAATTACTTTTATTGGTCGGAGTTAGGTGACGTCCCTTGCAACGCATAGTTTTTGTTACAAAGCTTCCTCCGCCATTAATGTCTTTCCTTTCTTTAAGGCTTTATATGTGTCCACTAACTGCCACTTTCCTACCTACGGGGTTTTACCTGCCACACCTTGGCCTTTCTTTCCATCTTAGTACCCATTCCTTGCTGTTGTGCACCCTTTTGTTCGAAGCTAGCAGATCCGTGATTGCTTCGTGGCTAAGGGAATTCAAACTCAGTGATAGATCTTTGTAGATTGGTCACTGTTTGCATTAGCCTACTGGCGAGTTGGCGTGAATTAGAGAGTATTGTCCGGCAAGCCTTATTCGACGTTTTGTCTCATAGGTCGTCCAGAGGACGCCAACTGTCATCACCAATCGATTGTTCGATGATCCATGCAACACATAGTATAGAGTCAACTGCAGAATAATCTGCGTTAGGCTGCCTTTGAATTGTGTAAGAAGGCGTAGAAATGTCTAGATATTATCAATGTAGCAGGTGTTCTCGCCAGCAGTCTCTGCAGTCTGGGCAAGACGCAGGTGAATTCGCAGAAGCGTAGACATGGGCTACCGAAATGGGATATTGTTCATTACATTCGCTCCATTTGATGACTCTGATGACCGGTCGGGGAAATCGCTCGTCTATAAAGTCCCCGTCGATGATAATAGATCGAGGGTTAGAACAGATCTAGACCTCCACCCGACAACAAATGTTCGACAATGATGAGTGCAAAATTACTAGATTCACAAAATGGAATGCGGTCCCATATTCAATTTGTTGGTGAAACCACCTACCGAATCGGGTGTGATAAGCTTATTGAGATGACGTTTCTCGAAGAAGGCAGATGAAGGGACACTGTATGTATTATGTATATGAAGAAAAGCACAAACATAAGCTACGTTGGTTTCTTCTAAACAATGCACCGATGGCATGAGGGCTGAGGCGAGATTGTTTACGTAGGGCATACTCGAGGGGATTGTGGTATGGAGATGGTTTTGGCTTTGGTTCTGGGATTGGATTTGGAGGTTTTGGGCGGAGTAAGAAGTTGTTTCTGCTGATGGTAGGTCATTGAGGCGGTTTCCTTGGTCAATGTTAGTGTCTAAGCTCATAGTGATATATTTAAATGTATGAGTTGAGGTTAAAACATACACAATTTGTTGAAGAATAGGCACGGCCTTGGCGCAGAGAGCACTGTGGATAGAGAGTGAAGCGAACATGCGCAATGATAGATCCAGGAGATTTTTGATTTCCTCGTACTCGGAGTAGCACTCTGGGTTGAAGACAACAGCTGCTAGCGTACCTCCGGCGTGAAAAGCGTGGAAGCTGCCTAGTCCGATGGTGTACCAGTTATACGGTTTGAAGTCTGGCGATTCAAAGAGGTCTGGAACATGGGTAGCGATGCCTTGGCGGAAAATATACACTTTGCTCTGGAAGCACGTTTTTCGGGTGTGACCTCGCCTTGTAAATAGCGACATAGGCTTGGACGAAGAAGGAGCCAGAGAAGTTAATGAATCTGACTGTACAAAATGTGGAGGTTTGCTTGGTGGTGTATGGCCAGGGGCTCCTCAGTGTCGGACTGGTAGCGGGCGTCGCACATTTCGCGAACGGAGGTGACCTTAGCTTCGAGTTTTCCGGTGTCAAAGCGTACAGTATGCTGGTAGCTAGATACGTGTTCGTTTATCTTGGAGGCAATCCTGTGCAGCTGGACATCGAGGAGCAGGTATGCCATCTTTGTTGGACGGGAAGTTGATGTTGAAGGGGCGGTCCTGGCTGCTTTAAGACCGGTTAGGAGATCCACGTCGTTGACATCCGCGGGCATTTTCACATCTTGTGTTAGCATTGCGTAGTTGATGCTTCCGAATGCTCCGTTTTTAATTGTATAGAGCATCATGGGTCCCGCCCAGACTCGGCGCCGCTCCTCGCACTCGACTGGGCCCATGAAAACAAGTATTGCGCTACCAGAGAACTTTGAAGATTTACTTTTGCGCTGGACCAAGCTTGGACGGAACGAGATTGGAGGTCTCGGAAATCCTAGATCTCAGATATGGACTTCTGTTACTGCGGTATAGTCAATCTCTCATATTTGAATTTTATTATCTCCGTGAGGATGAGAGTAGTTCGATGATATATCTCATCCCATTTGTACTATTGTTCTGGTTATTTCAGTTTCAGTCTCCCTCTTCTACAAATGGAGGATTTGATGATATAAGAGATTGTCGATACACTGAGTCTGAGTCCGGATTAAAATTTACTTACTTTAGTGAGCCTGACTTTATGCACCTTCGTAAAAGCGGCGGCAGCTAAGATGAAAGCCCTAACTCGGCAGAGGAAATATGTTACTTCGTAGAGCTACCTACTTATTCCTGTGTATTCTCAAATATTGACTCATTAGCCACAACACGAAAACACACAAAAAAGTCCCAACATCCCATCCGATCTCAAATTCATGCGTTATTTCCTATGAAATTATATTCTGGCAGGAAGATTAACCCCTTCAATGTCGCTGCATTGCCGGCCCGGCCAATGGCTTTACGAAGAGATTTTCGTATCGTACTCTCTACACTATTGGATCTTGCACTGTGCTCAAGTAGATTTTACACCGTTACAAATCATTTCTCACCTTAAATATCATTCGATTACATGGTATGAGAAACTTGGGTGTGGAGACACATGCATATATTCAATCAAAACGTATGATATATCTTCGTGTAGGCAGTAGTACGAAGGTCTTCCAGAACGAGTCCCAGATGAAGTTCGTCTCATAATGCAATCCAACGTATTAATTGGGCAGGCAAAATTTGTGCGTTATTCCGTTCTCATCTGCCGCGCCCACACAAACCCTCCGGTCGCAACAATCCGCGCTGGTCTTACAGCCTCCCACTACAAGCCATTAGCCATCGGAATAGGCGTGCATTGGAGTATATGGGTAATGGGTATGTATCATACTTTCAACAGGAATCGCGTTTAAGAGGTTCGATGGCTGCTGCGTTGGTCAAAGCAGCGATGGTACCGAGAAGGCAGAGACTGATAAGCTTCATAATGAAACCGGTGGGTGGTGAATGTCACGCGAGTTCGAAGGAATGAGAATTGCGGATGAATGATATGGGTAGAAGACTCTACTGGAGGAGAATGGGCGGCCTACTTATACATATACCGTAACACCTTGCCTCGTCGTTCATTGGAATATAACTTATTCGTAGGATTGTTGATCTTTTACCGACTCTTTCCCTAGGGAACAAGTCGACGACGGCCCAATTGGCAAGTTTAACCACCCAAATACCAAATTAGGGATGAGTGCTGTAGCAGTAGACAGATTGGACACCGAGTAGTTGAAGTGGAAAGTACCGTTTCAATGTGCGTCCGAAGATACCTAACATAGGACAGAGAGTTAACTTAGTATACATATACATAAAACCCCTGGAAATAGATTAGATTAGATTAAATATTCAGACTACATATAGCTCAAAAACACACAAAACTCCCAGGGAAAAGGTCTCCACCTAAGGCTCTGCTGCCTTGCGCTAGCCAGGCAGCAGCCTCATTGGTGCCTGGTTTCCTAGGCCATCTTGAGCGACGGTGACCACAACGCTGGTTTAAAAGGCGACCACTTCTGCGTTGACTCTGTATTTTTCTCTTCTTCATCGCTTTCATCATTTTCATCACGGCCCCCGTATTCTCTCCCCTCTCCTCCTCTTTCTTCTCAGCCCCCACCTCGTATTCGCGCCTCGGCCCCTTTTGATTACAATTTGTTTACTTTCTGGAACTCAATTGTCGCTCGTCAACTTGTTGCACAATGCCTGCGAGATCGTTCAAAAAGCTCGTTATCGCCGTGAGTGGGACATTTCCAAAGCTCAAACAATGTAAGACCCCTTTCACCACACAGTGCGTCACGTTTGATTGCTCTACTCATTGAAACCGTGCTGACTCCTGAAACCGGCTTAGCGGACTTGAAGTCGATGATTGAGAACAATGGGGCTACATTCAGCACCTCCGTTACGGATGACCTTACCCACCTCGTCACCACAGACAGGGATGTGGACAAGGAATCAACAAAGTGTGAGTACGCCAAGTACGATCACACAGTGATAGTGATCTTTTGTCTGATAAACCAATTAGACAAACAAGCAAGCGCAGTCACAGGCTGCCAAATTGTCTCACTTGACTGGCTCATTGAATCGACCGAGAAAAAGAAACCTCTGCCAGAAGGACAATATGTCCTCGGCAAGGGTGCAAACCAGCCTGCGCCCCAGGCCGAGCCTACGCCCGAGCCAGACACCAAAAATAATGGAAACGGCACTGACAAGAAGCCTGAAACAAAAAAGCGCAGCGCAGTGAAGGATGAACCGGCGGAGGAACCTAACAAGAAGCTAAAGGACATCCAGAAGGCTAGTTCAAAGTTTCTGAATGTCCCAGTCGACGAAGGCTTCAATGAGCATTGGGGCGGCTTTACAAGTGAGTTGAGATGGCAAAATGTTATGAAAATAAGTGAATAACCCCTTCGCCTCAGACGCCACGGTCTACATCGATGACGCAGGTTTGATCTGGGATGCCACCTTAAATCAGACCGTCTCGGCCAGCAATGCCAACAAATTCTATCGTGTTCAACTACTGGTCGGCAAGAACCAACAATACATCACTTGGACCCGATGGGGCCGGGTTGGAGAGCACGGACAGTCGGCCAGGCTTGGTAGTGGCGGCTTGGAAGAAGCAATCAGACATTTTGAGGCCAAGTTCAAGAACAAGTCGGGCCTGAAGTGGGAAGATCGTCTCGCTACTCCGAAGAATGGGAAATACACGTTCCTTGAGCGCAACTACGAAGAAGATGACGAAGACGAAGAAGACGAAAAGGACGTCAAGAAGGAGAACGGGGCCAAGCAGGAGAATGGGGTCAAAGTTGAGAGTGGTCTGTCAAAACCGGTCCAGTCCTTGATGAAATTCATTTTCAACAACAACCACGTCCTCGAGGCTCTGGCAGCAATGTCTTACGATGCAAAGAAAATGCCTCTCGGAAAGCTCAGCAAGAGGACCCTGACAAATGGCTTCTTAGCTCTGAAGGAACTATCCGAGCTCATCGCAGCACCGGCGTCCGCGAATGCGAAGTACGGGCTCCCATATATCAATGCGATTGAGAGCTTAAGCGACCGCTATTACACCTTGATTCCCCATGTCTTTGGTCGCAATCGGCCTCCTACTTTAGGAAGCAATGAGCAAATCAAGAAGGAAGTAGAGCTTCTTGAGGCACTGACCGACATGGATGTCACCAACGAGATTATGAAAGACAACCAGGGTGCCGATGAGATCCATGAGCTGGATCGCCAGTTCAAGAGTCTGGGAATGGAGGAGATGGTTGAACGTGAGTACCAAACTACATCACCAATGTGGGCAAAACTAATAGCAACCAGTGAACCCCGAGTCAACCGAGTTCAAAGAGCTTGAAGACTACCTCCAAAACTCCCGTGGCACAACCCACCACCTAGAATACAAAGTTATCAACATCTTCCGTATCCAACGCCAAGGCGAAAATGACCGCTTCAACACATCCCCCTACGCCAGTATTGCCAACAGCGACCGCCGCCTCCTCTGGCACGGGTCCCGCAGTACAAACTTCGGTGGAATCCTCAGCCAAGGTCTCCGCATTGCGCCCCCAGAAGCGCCAGTCAATGGCTACATGTTCGGCAAGGGAGTGTATCTGGCCGACACATCCAGCAAATCCGCCAACTACTGCTGCCACTACAACAGTGGCGGCATGGCTCTTCTCCTACTCTGTGACGCCGAAGTCGGCGCCCCAATGCTGGAACTTGAGACTAGCGATTACAATGCCGGCGATGTATGTAAGCAGACCGGGAAACTCGCAACTCTCGGAAAGGGTCGCAATATCCCTGGTGGGTGGAAGGATGCTGTTTGTTTGAATCCTGCTTTGGAAGGTGTTACGATGCCTGATGTTGGGATCAAGCAGCAGCAGGCGCAGAGTGCGGGGCTTTACTACAATGAGTACATTGTTTATGATGTTGCTCAGATTCGGCAGCGGTATTTGTTCCAGGTTCATATCAAGTGATAGCTTGAGGTTCAGGGTTGTGTTGTTTGATGTGCATAATGTCGGAGTATCGGATGGTCATTCTAATGGGTTATTTTAGCGGGTTTAGCTCAATATGTATAGGTTAGCGTGTGCTATTATGCAAAATTTATACACTATTATTACATTTAATTCCAAAGACAAATAGGCAAGAAGAAAAACATAGAGCGAAAGGTAAAGATTCTTTTAGTATAAGTTAACCCCGAAAATAACGAAGAAGACTGGACAAGCTAAACTAATTGGCCTCAATCATCAGATCCCCATTGTTGTTGAAAATTTGGTTCTAGTAGGACAGCGAGGCATTTTAAGGTATCACCAAACGAGCAGAACTGTTGAGATCCTTCTCAATTTCTTCCTCAGCATCACTAATGCGAGGCACTTGAATTGTTGCACAAACTGATTTTGTAAAGCTTGATGATTAGCTTGTATCTCGGCCTTATAATTGGAGCGCAGGAAAACTTGGATCCAATTTTGGGGGAGATTGAGGAAAAAGTTAAGGCCTCCAATTGTTGCTGAAACAATAATGGGTGAATACTCTTATACTACCCCAATCTGGATAGGCCTTCGAATATCCTTTGGTTTTGGCGTTATCTTCCGACAGTTAATACCATTTATAGTGTTTATTTATAGGAAGTCCCCACGATGGCCATCCGCTGGAGGATCGAAGGTATGATCGCATGTTTCGCACATAACCTTTGGGGCACCATCTTGAATAGCAGCGACCAGGTGAAACTGTCACCAACATCCTGCCTGACACTTGTCTCGAAGACATTTCGATTCATCCCGCCACCAACAGCCTAAATAATTATTGTACATAGTTTTGAATCTGCCAAATTGAATTTTTTGACAACCTTGCAAGGATAAAACTTCTATGGTAGAGGAAAAGAAAGTAAAAAGGTAGCTTCAACGGTGAAGTGCAATTCCTAAAGATGAGCGAACAAATAGTACCCCACATTGAAGCCCCTCGCTACCGATACTAGAGATGCCTAAATTTTTATAAAACGTGTGAAAATATGACATAATCCATGCCTCGGTATCAGATGCTCCCCAGCGCCGATCAACACTGAAATAGTAAAGAAGAAGCTAATTCACCTCTATCTGGCTTTTCATATGAATCAAGGTTATTGGATGCCAGCAAATGACATTTACAAATAAGATTCATTGCATCAATCGGACCTTATGCGGCTCCTCATTTGCTAATATTATCCTCATGTGTTGAAAGATCATTAGCCAGTAAAGCAGTATAAGGAAGTGATCCGCAAACCCACACCTCGGTTCCCAACTATTTCTTTGTTGGCTAGATGACCCACCTCCATGTGTTCTCAAAGAAAAACATGAATATAAGATCCAGCGGGGGCGGGGGCGAGTGAAGATGTCCCTGGCATCTTTCTGCTCTTTTCATATTGTTACTCAGAATGGCCGCCCCGATGCGTAACCCAAAGGACTCGATGAAGTCCACCTGGCGATCCTGGGATCGCTCGCAGTGGACATTCGGTCACTGGCTTCTCGAATACCTAAACGTGCATCATGTCGAACTTGATCAAGAAGTTCCCGTTCATCAAAAAACGGAAAAAGTGCCTTATGCGCCAGAGATGCAGTTCCATTATTGGATCGTCCTCCACGCTGGTCTTCCACTTATCCTTCACCAACTGTACATCACCTTCTTCGGTCATCCTTCGGCCTGGCTAGCATTTATCTACTACAGTCTAGCCCTGGAATCCATCGCCGTGAAAGAAACCCATGTACTCCGACGCATGGGTCACAACCTCGGATTCTTCGACGGAGACAAGCACGCTCGCGACGGTGTACCGGATGTAGGGGTCGGCAAAACAGTACAAACAGTCCTCTCCGTGATCGTTCTCCGACCCATGCTCACCGTCTTCCTCGCCTACCGCGCCAACGAAGGCCCATCGTCAATCCGATGGGGATGGCTGATTTTCGAAACGGGCATGTACCCGCTCGCTATCGACTTCTGGTACTATATCATGCACCGCTCCGCGCACGAAACGGAACATCTCTGGCAATTCCACCGCACCCACCACCTAACTAAGCACCCGAATCCCCTATTGACCGCGTATGCGGATACAGTGCAGGAGTTCATTGATGTTATCGGTACACCGCTCCTCGCATACGGCACATTGAAGCTAATAGGATTTCCAATGGGCTTCTATGAGTGGTGGATATGCCAGCAGTACGTCGTGTTCACGGAGATTCTAGGCCACAGTGGGTTGCGTATGATTGCTACGGCGGTGAATCCGTGGACGTGGCTGCTACGGTTGTGTGACATGGAGCTTGTCATTGAGGATCATGATCTTCATCATCGCAAGGGCTGGAAGAATAGCCACAATTACGGCAAGCAGACTCGGGTGTGGGATCGGTTGTTCAATACCTCTATCCCACGTATAGAGGGGCATCGGGACAATATCGATTATGTCAAAACGGCGGAACTTCCCTTGTTCTAATTGCTACTTAGCTACAGTACTTCCGGAAATAGGTGTCACCACCTACACTCTTTGATTGTTTCTCGATCCCTCATACCAAGAAACGCTAGGCTATTCTAGAAATAATTATATATTTTTCAGTCATCTCCAGACCCGCGCACATCGGCCCTGAAACGATGAAAAAAAGAGATGGGAAGTTAAAGTGGCAGAAATTCCGGAAATTTGGGAGACTTCCCTCATCGTGTATGTAAAGCTTATATCCTAAAAGATTAAGCCTGATATATTGCCTAATCTACTAGGATTTCGTATAGCTTATAATAGAGAAGGGAGACTAGGTAGTTTAGGCGATAAGACAGAGGATGTCTGTCTCTATACATAGCAGAGAGAATCACTGAGTCGCTGGTTCAAAGCTCATATTGGTTCATCGAACTCTTGGTTTTCAGCCTTTGGTCAAGATCGCGAATACTCCGATAGACTCGAATATTCTGTACTTCAAGTAATGATTACAAAGATGTGATTTAACTCCGTCGTTTTCAGCTTAACTCAGCTTCATGTTGATCCTGCATGGATCATTAGAGGGGGACGGCGCCGGAGTGGTCCACGGGTGGTGGCATCGGACTATTCTGAAACTCCGCGGACTTTCACCTCCAATTTCCAACTTCATATCCCCGTGGCTCCGGCAGGGAAAAGAAAAAGGGAAATGCAAAACAAAAATGTATTCGATCATGGTTTATAAGATTGATTCAATTCCTCTTTTATCACCTCCTCCACCTCCCTTCGATATTCCTTAACAATCATGTCATCTACCGACGGATCCGCCAGTCCCACCTTAATGAGCAAACCTCAGAAAGAAGAAGCCATCACAAGTCCAGGAGCCACCGAGAAGGCCGAACCGGAAACTGAGCCGACCCCCTTCTCCTCGACGTTCCAAGAGGCTATCTTTATCCTCATCATTGGCTTGTCGCAACTTTTCTCCGTTGGCGGTATAGGCAATGCCGCCTACTCAATAGAACAGATCGGTGCATCTCTCGGCACAAGCAGCAATGGACAGATGTCATGGTTTCTAGCCTCCTATGCCCTCTGCGGTGGTGTCTTCGTCCTAGTCACCGGTCGCCTGGGTGATCACCTCGGCCACAAATACGTCTTCCTCTTCGGCTGGATCTGGATGGCCATCTGGTCTTTAGTCTGCGGCTTCGCCCACAACGTCGTCCTATTCGACATCGCCCGCGGCATGATGGGAATCGGCAATGGCGCACTGGTACCCAACTCCTTCGCGCTGCTGGCGCGTGCATTCCCACCTCTGTCTGTGAAGAAGAACATCGCCTTTGCCTTCCTGGGCTTCTGCGCTCCCTCCGGCTACATCTTTGGTGGTTTGATCGGCGCCGCCTTCAGCCAGAAAGTCACCTGGCGGTGGGGATTCTGGTTCTGGGCCATCGGCTGCCTCATTCTCAGTTTAGCGACCTTCGTCATTGTTCCTCACCGAATCGGCTCCCCGATTCCGGGGCTGAGTCTCCGTCAGTTTGACTACATCGGTAGCTTCCTCGGCGTGTCAGCCCTGATTCTGTTCTCTTTTGCCTGGAACCAGGCTTCAGTCGTCGGCTGGAAAGAGCCCTACACCTACGCCCTGCTCATTGTCAGCGTCTTCCTGCTCGTCGGATTCGTCTTCTCCCAGTCCCGCGTCTCTGCCCCCGTCCTACCCAATTCCCTCTGGGGCCGCCCTGGTTTCGCACCCGTAGTCACTGCTATGGCATTTGGCTGGATGTCTTTTGGAATCTTCCTCTACTACACTACTGTCTACATTCTCACTATCCATAAGACCCAGCCGCTTGCCGCAGTGGCTCAAATGGTTCCCCTGGTCATTGGTGGACTGTTTGCTACGGCAGCTGTTGGTCTCTTCATTGCCAAGACGCCTGCTCAGTATATCTTCGGCGTTTCCATGTTCTCCTTCTTCATCGGCAACCTGATCATGAGCTTTGTGAACTACTCGAATGTCTACTGGGCCTTCATATTCCCTGCTTGTCTGCTTGTTGTTGGCGGGCCCGACTTGTCCTTTGCCTCGTCAGGGATTCTCATTTCCAACGCCGTCCTGCCTGAGGAGCAAGGTGTTGCCGGATCCTTTATCTCAACGGTTGTGCAGTACTCCATTTCCATTGGTCTCGGTATTGCCGCCACTGTTGAGTCTCATGTCAACGAGGGTGGACAAAACCCCATTCGCGGCTACCGCGGGGCGTTCTGGTTGGGAATTGGATTTGCAGCTGTGGGATTCTTCGTTGTAATTTTCTTTGTTCGCGACCACAGATTTGAGTCCAAGGAATGGGACAAGTCCGGCCCTGAGGCCATTTCGCAGACAGCAGGTCTTTGAAGCGATTTGTGATATGCTGATTGTGGTTTTTTTTCCTTCAATCTTCTTGTCCGGTATTAACCAACTTGATATAAATAATAGATATGTTGGCAGAAATAAAAGATCTTAGTGGATTGTTTTCAGATATGATATATATGTTCACCCCAGTACCTACTAGGAAATGTACCTAGCTTGAGAACGGTGGTAGAGTGGTAGCGGCATCCTGCAATGATAGAGACAATCTGTGAGACCTTAGTCTCCGATATCTGATAATGGGCTTCCGGCGTAAGGCATATTGTGTTTTGAATGGATATTGATCGGATTACCAACAAGATGCTCTGGCATGCTTTGAGTCCATCTTGTCGGGAGAATGGATCTAATATATCATCGTCTTGAAAGACCGGCATCCAGTATTGTCTAGATGTTGTCCCTTCCGAAAGGGTGTCCTCTGGCCATGATTTGGTGAGGCCGCGAGATGAAGGGAAGCAGCACGCGGGTTCTGCGGGCTTCCCTCAGACGGGTTCCAAGCCAGGGCCTCCACGTCCACGGACAGCGTCCATGAGACTAAGTCACCATGTATTGGACTCTGCATACGAGAGCGATTCATCTAGTTTGTAGCCAACAGCAGGTTGATCAAGAGGAACAAAGAGGGCCAATTTATCGGGGGGACGCGTTCCCGTTTCATGTGATCTGACACCTTCGTTGCCTAGGCACTCAGCGATTTAGAGAGATGTGAGGATATTTGTTCGATAACAAATGTGAATGTAAATCAGGTTAGCACCACGGTGGTCACGGGAGATTGGACTCGTTCCGTGAATCCCCACTTGACGTTGGCCGAGCCAAATGGGCTTAGTACATGCTCCTGTCCTCCAACATCCCACCCAACATGGATATTCCCAACCCCAAGAAGCTCACCCTCTCTTGTTCACGGTGTCGCGCCTCCAAATTAAAATGCGACCGCAAGGAACCTTGTGTGAGTATACCTAGAATCTTATGAGAAAGCCAAACTCATTGTTGCTAGTTGGAATGCGTGAAGCGCGACTGCGCCCACCTATGTACCAAAGATGAGCGGCAACCGAGAGCCAAGAGGACCAAAACCCAACATACAGAACAGAAACGTAGCCAGGTGACGCCGGAAGAAGAGGAAGAACCGGTGGTCGAAGAAACAGCGCAGGTCTTGGAGCATTTCGTGGATGTCATTCCTCTCCGCACCGAATCAGCGGGCGTGGCCCCTGACATCCCCAATCGTTACTGGGTGACCCAGGATCAGCAGAGGCACGACCAAAAACTAGCCTTGATCCGAGATGTGGTTCACGCCCTGCCAGAATGGGATATCATCCAACTCCTCTACGAGGTCTTTGTTACACGTTGCCAGGGACCACTGGGAAATGTGGTGCACACCCCCAGCTTCATGAAGCAAGCCGACCAATTGCGCCAGTGCTTGAGTATGGCTTCCCCCGACGCAGCCATCGCCAGTACGCTATCCATGGACTCTCTTGCTGGTTTACTTCTCGCGGTGCCGCTCTCCATTTAAACCCGCTTGGTCTAGCTTCGGCTCACTCTTTCTACGCAGCTTGTACTCGGACTCGCCTTCCATCCAACCCCGTCCCTTCTGGGTGTCCAGCTCACTCCGTTGACCTTTCGCGTAGAGCAGCTGCGCGCCTCCGATGAGCCTGCAGCGACGTGGCGGTCCCTTGGCGTACGTTGTCTCCATGGGGGCATTTCCCTCTTTTGTGGCTCTATCTCCAGCTTGCAGGCGGCCATCATGCTCCTGTTGGATACAAAAGAGACCTCACTGGGGCTTGATGCCGTATTGGTAACGGCCATTGCGGGTGCGCGCAAACTTGGATTGCATCGCTTAGGCAATGCCACTTTGGATGCCACGTCTTCCTTACATTATGGCTCTGTGACCGCTGAGCCACCTCAGATTCGCACCGAGATTGCGATTCGCATTTGGTGGGCACCCTGAATACCTTTTCTTTTCCACTCGGGGCGAAGCGCTAATCGTTCCGCACCACTAGGTGGACTCTGGTCATGAGAGACTGGTCCCGCGGACAAGCTCTTGGCTACTATACTATCCGCCCCTCACAGTTTAATACCCGGATGCCATTGCACCTCAATGATGAGGATCTGCTCAAGGCACATGGCAAGATTCCTGAGCGCCCTCGCTCTGAGTTTACCATGCTCTCCTATACGGTACACGCTTTGGAACTGTCCATCATTGTGCGGGAATTAATTGATCTCGGGGACGCCGCAAACGAAGTCGCCCAGCGGCGTCAGCACCTAAATCAAAAGTACGAAAAATATGTGACGAGTTTGCCGTCTTACTTTAGATTGGGAAGCTCTGTCGGACTCACAGCCATGGGTCCCATGGCCGCCATCCCAGTCCAGCGATTCATGTTACATCAACAGCTATGGAGTCTACTCCTTCGCCTCCACCGCGCTACTCTCTCCTCTCCCATAGGACGAGCATCCTGCCAGCAGCTAGCTCATAATATTATCAATACGCAAGCTCAGATCCAAGCCCGCTGCACGGTTTGTGGCTCATTGTCCACCAACGAAACGCAACTCTTCAACGCTACCGTTGTGTTGGTCTTGGGGCTGCTGTTTGATTCCCCGTCAACCAAGGCTGAGCAGTCAAGTGCCCAACTCAGTCGGCTAATGACGCGAGACCACATTCGGGAAGCCATTGAATTGTTGCGTGCCAAAGTGTCACCTGACAGATCCTCCGGGGACGCTATGCCCCAAGGCCCGCCCCAAAGCACGGTGTCGCGCAGTGTTGTGGCCCTCGAGGCACTGATGAAGTTGGAAGAAAATTCAGATGACGGTGCCAACCGCCATGCGGGATCGAACCAGAAGCGTGCCCTCCACCGCCAGGTGGTGGAGATTCTGAAGACCTTGGATGGCCCAACCACTTCCGCTGATTCACCCGTTCCAAGAATATCGACTCCTGGGGACACCACTTTGACTCTCTCCATGCCTGTCACGGACGGCTTCCCCGATCTAGATGTAATGCCCATTCTCTCCAATGGCCTGAGTCCTAGTATGTGGGACTTCTTGGACTTCCAGCTACCGGAAGATGGAGGAAAGGGGAAGTTCTTGCCTATGGCCGGAGACGTTTACGGGCCCACGGGGTTTACCGACGCATTGTATCCAAGCCAAAGCAGTAGCCTCTCGGGGACGCGCTTGACCCATGAATCCCCGTCGTCTCTAGGAAACGAACCCGTGTTGGAACACTGTGACGATCCCTTATAGAGCTGGTGCTTTTGTGGCTGCTAACTCTTTCGACGTCGTGGGAAATGGGGGCCCGTAGTACGGCAGTTTATAACCGCCATAAGGCCAAAACGGATTCTGCCGGCAGTGGGTAGGAAATTGAGCATTTACATCGGATACGCCTAATAAATGGGTAGGAAATGGAGTATTGAATGTTGCCTACAGTGCTGTTCATAGAATACTAGGCAGTCTCCACAAAAATATACCGTTTTACTTATTTTTTTCGCCCTACTTTAGCCTCTCTTTTTCCACCTCTTTTTTGCCCATTTTCGAGTGCCTCGGGTTAATCATATAAATTATACTCAGTGGTGGACTGCAAGAAATGTGCGAGTTGTACGATAAAGCGACTTATGTTTACTACTCCTCCTAATCCTCCACAACCACTACACCCTTGCGTGTGTGCTCTTCTGTTCACCAACTCACCCTGACACGTGCCCACCGACCAAATCCTTCCTGCTTTCCAGCTGTCACTTGGATATCTCGACCTTCCTCACTTCACGCAATCATGTCTGAGGAAGTATCACCCCCCGGCAACGACCTGCGCGGCAAGGGCAAAGACAAGCATCTACCCCAAATTGACCCTGACAAGAACCCTGCTCTCCATGCCCGTTTGAACTTCAACGGAGCTGAGCGGTATCGCTTATACGTGCAGCAAAGATTGGCAGGGAAGATTCACATTATAGTCAACAGGCTGTTTTACAACAAGATTCGATGGGAATGTGCCAACATCCTTGACCCTTCCAATTATGCCGGCCAATTTTCTGACTACAATATGGCACTATACCAGATCAAGTCGAACGTCATTTTCCTGAATGTGGCTAATGGCGAAGAAAGCATGCAAGGGTATTCCTTTGTGAACCACCGCCATATTTCCCTTGCTCTTGGTTTAGCACACGATTTGCATACCAGCTTGTCAGTGGCACTGAAGAGCATCGTCATTCTGACTGGATATGAGGCCCAACGTCGAGCCTACATCGTGGAGCAAGGTCGGCGCCAGGGTGCTCATCCTGAAGTTAAGTGGATGGACATGCCAGCCCTTGTGATTGGAACTTTCCAGGGGAATGCGGCCAACGTTGTCATCTTCGATGTGGTTCGTACCAAAGAGGTGGGCTTTATGCGTTCATACCGTCGCCTGAATGTCGCCCTTAGTCGTGGTCGTTTCGCTCTGGACTGTCTTTACAACGCAGGCAGCATGACAACCAAAGAGTTCAGATTCCCAAGAAAGACCATCAAGCACGCGTTGGCAAGAATCTTAAGTTTTAGGCCAAGTGGCCATGCCTAGGTAGGGCATTCATACACAAACGATGAATCCCATGTGATATCGTCATACATCATCATTCATTGTATGTCAAAGGATTCTCTTTTCCCGTCCAACCTTCTCTTTACGCAATCCCCATTCTTACTTACCATCAAATTTCCTTCCTGACACCATACCCAACTTCGAACAAGCATTGGACGAGCAGGAAGGCGCGATGTCAACACTAGAACACAACCGCGCGGCTCTCGCTGCCCCTGATTCCTCCACATCCCACATCCAGCCCCTTCTCCCCGATGAGAGCTTTTTCCCAGAGATTGACGATTTCTACATTCCCGACTCCGCCGAACGTCTCGCCGGGTGTACCCATATCCAAATTCGGGAGAGAATCTGTCAGATCCAGGAGCGACTTAAACGGAGCAAAAAGCAATCTACCCAATACCTCCTCATCATCGATGCCCACGAGGACCTCCACGCCAAGCTTTTCGAGAGAAAAATTGGTGGAGCGCGAGCAACTGTGTCTGGTCAAAGGATACTCTTTCGCATCATGCCTAGGACACCTCATGAAAGGCTTGTTTCCAGCATCCCAATGTGGCTTGCTCAGGCAATGCAAGCAGCAGGCATCCCTATGTCTTCCGATGTATGGCTACCAACCGGCGCATCACAAAAGAATGGGAGATTCTGTGGGAGGCAACCCGACCATGGCATAGTCCCAGGAGCTAATTATCGAATGCTCCCACGGAGTGACTATGACGCCGGGTTGGATGGCAGTCAGCTTGAAGCAGCTTGGCCCTCTATAGTGATAGAAGCCGCTTACAGTCAGTCCTTTCGGAGCCTTCGCACGACCGCCAAATGGTGGTACAACAACTCGGGCCGCCAGACTAAATTGGTCTTGCTCTTCGATCTTCGACGAACCCCGACGTTTTCTGTTCACATTCAACTTTGGCAGGAGGTCATGACATCCCATGCCGGACGTACCTTACGATCTGCTGTCGCTTCCCCCTTGCCCCAGGTTCTCATCCCGCAGCTGAATTGCACTCAATCCACGTACTTTGACAGCCATCACGATCCTGCACCCATAACACTGGATTACTCCCAACTTATGAGAGAGCCGCTCCCCAATGGCAAATCTAACATTGTACTCACGACGCACATGTTACGGGAAATTTGTCGACCACCATGGTGATGTGAATGCTACCGTCTTCAGTCCCATTAGAGTGGCTGCCCTTCGTATTCATCCATCTTGATATCCTTCCTTGCTCTGCGCTTTTTTGATATGGCCATGCTTCATCTTTCCCTCTTAAAGGATATGTACAGGGTTTAATGGATGAATGATGTTTGGATGCTACCTTATGCTTCGATCAGATTGGTAGTTTCTTATAAGTAGAGCTGTAAGCCCCTTGAGCCTAACCTAAGCAGGAGTGGTATAATATAGAAGGAACGACGCAAGAAATAAGAAATAAAGAACAAATAACTTTGCAGTTTCGGAGCTCAGTTGAGCTAGTAATACAGAGAATGTCCATCTGGTAACTTTTGCGAGGTATATTCATCCCCCTACCTTTATATAATTTATATGATTAACCCGAGGCACTCGAAAATAGGCAAAAAAGAGGTGAAAAAAGAGAGGCTAAAGCAGGACGAAAAAAATAAGCAAAACGGTATATTCTTATGGAGACTTCCTAGTATCCTATCAATAGCACTGTAGGCAACTCCGTTCACTTTCGGAAAGCTCGAAGAGCGTAATAAATCTACTCACAGGGTAGGTCAATTTTAGAAAATACATGAACGAGTGGCTCTTATTCTTTAGTCAGAAGCATTGTTTAGGCAGTTATTTACAAAATCCCATCCACATCAAGTGCGCGATTCCCTAGTCATTGTAAGGCTGGATACCAGCAAGGTGAAGGATCTGGTCCGTCACGACCGGCTTCTCAAGAGGCTCATCCCGCTCCAGTGGATCCCGTTTTCCATCTTTCTGAGCCTTGCCCTGACGCCAGATATTGCAGTGAGGCCAGTGGGTGGTTGCCTCGTACTTCTCGAAGATATCTTTCTTCAAGGCCAAATCTTCCGGTGAGGCCAAGGCCCTCGGCATCATGCAGACGTAAAGAACGCTGCGGATCTGCTCAGACTCAATCCTGGCAACGTGGTGGATGGTGCGCGAGTCCCGAAGGACCAGATCAAGGTTCTGCCTCGACTTTGATTTCCTTGCATCCCTTGGACTTGAACCGCTCAATTTCATCTGGCTGGAAACGGTAGAGATCATGATGCTTGGCTTCATTGCTCAAGCGAGGACGAGTGCCATTGGTATCGAAGTACTCCTCGAAGAGGACCGATGAACCAATTGCGAGCAAAAGACCGCCGTCCTTGGGACCAGCAATGGCCAGATTTATCAGACCCTGGACACAAGAGAGATCTCTACGCGCAGGAGCTTGATCACAGTGGGTCCAAGGGCGGAAATCATCGTCCTTGCGACCCGGGAGAGTAACATTGAAGGCATCGAAAGAGACGATCAGTGCGTCAGTACGCCACAACTCCGCAAAAGGCTTGATGACATTATGCTCAGTTTGGGCATCCCACATGAACTTCTCATGGGGTGGCACAGTAGTTTATGTACATGTTCTTGAAGCTCTGGGGCAGATGCTCCTTTGTCCATGTTTCCTTGCCGTTGAGGTGGAAACCATTGTCAAACGACTGCAACCAGTCGAGGGACTTCTTGTAATAGTACACAGTGGCCTTCTCCTTGGAGACAGCACCCTTGAAGATGTAATAGCCATTCTTGAAGAAGTCAGTCGCGCCAGTCGCCGTGTTTGTTCTAGGCGTTGAGAACCAAGGAGGGGCAGCCTTATCCGCCTGAGCTGTTGTGGTTGCCTGAGCAGTCAACATGTCTGTAGCGAAAGCCAGAGTTTTGAAGGCAGTAGATAATACATTCTCCTTGATGTTCTTTCGATTTGAGTGCAGGTAGTGGGATGGGTTCTGAAAAGAGAAACAAGACTGATGTGAGTATCAAACAATCTTTTGTTCAACGTTGCTTGACCGGTTTTAAATACAATCCAGGGTTTGCCGCTATTAATTGATGAGGCGGAGTGCAGGGATGCTCGCGCCAGTTCGCGCGAGCCTAGACGCTCACATGTATCAAGACTACTGTGGAGAAATAGCATCGGAAGTCGCTAAACGGACCTCCCGAACTGCCGCTTTTTCTGGGGAGCCAGCCCTTAGTGGAGAACTGGCCGGCTGTGACATGACTGCTACCGCAATGGCATACCGGAGACTAGCGGCGATTGGCCGTCGAGATGCAGTCGTCTTCGGCAGCGGTGAATTTCTGTGTTGGCTTGATCAAAAACTTAAGAACTCGTCGCTGGAACGTGCTTGAGCAGTCGATTCCGAAAGGTCTTCTCTCCATACAAAGTCGGTTTCTTGCCGCTCTTTCTCTTTCTCCTGATTTCCATTTCCACAGGCCGCCAATAGATCCTGCCTCCTCCGGTGCAACTGGGTACGATGCCTATCAGCAAGCCTACTATAGGCGAAAACGGCTACCGGGGTTTCAACCCACATTCCGAGGTCCTTCACAGGGGTTGGAACGGCCACAACGCCTGCCCTTTGCCGTGCGACGTCATTGTTGACCACGACCTGGCCATCAAAGTTCGTGACGGTTGCACCTTCTATCGCGATGTCTACCGGCCCCTAACTTCCGGCGCTGACGAGAAAGTATGTGCATTCGTAGCATGGAACCCCTTTGGCAAGAAATTCGGAATTCGGAGTCCTGATCGGGAAGATTCCAAGCTACAATCCGTACAGTGGTGAGGGACCAAGGGAGTACAATTCGTAGATATACACGTTAGGTACAGCAGTGGAAAGCAGTTTGACAATACAAAGACCCCCCACTGAATAAAAATAGCATTCGAACATTGGTTTCTCAGGTGATGCTCAGGAGCAATTCAGGGCGCTCAGACGAGGATCAGACTGCTCAGCTGAGTACCAGGTGATGGTGCTCAGAGGCGCTCAGTTCTACTCATTGAGAAAAGACTGGTGAGAGAAATCCACGAATGGAATACGAGGAACGCAGAAAGTACAGTCTAAGCCCTATATCATCCCCTTCTATCTTATGATCAGTACATACGACCACAGGGTGTGGAGAACAGGGCTTCCCGTCCGCTCAGCCGTACTTAAGCCACACGCCGGTAAGTTAGTAGTTAGGTGGGTGACCACTAGCGAATCCTTACTGTTGTATGTTTTTGTTTTTTATTTACTCTACGCGAGTCTCGAGGCGCCTTGAAAATTAAAATGGCAAAAAAATTTGTCTTAGGGTGAGTGTAGGTGATATGAGTGAGAATTCTGGAGACCGAGGTGAGAGAGGTGAGAAGGGGTGAGATGGGGTGACAAGATGATGGATGCCTCCGCACATCTACCTATGCTAGGGTGATAAGTGGCTGACTGGGGCTTTGATTCCGGCTTGTCGTAATTTTTTCTTTCTCGTTGCGTTCAAGACTATGCTCCCTAAAAATCTCTAGAGAGCTCTTGATTGAGATAACGATTGCGCCATAGACCAAATCGCTTAGGGCTGACGTTCATATCTACACACGATCAAGGCCCTGTAGATCTGTCAGCATGGTGGGCGATATCAGTTGTTAGTAGGTGTCTAATAACGAATGGAACGACGAGGGGGGACAAGAGCCATGGAAAATATGAATGAGAACCATATTAGCCGACCGAGTTTAGTCTTTTACAGCAGTAGTACAGCTTTCGCCATGTAAGAGATAGATGAAGAGGAAAAAAGGGAGTGGGCGTCGATCAAGCTGGATTGCCAAATCTCCGCCCTCCCCTTCCCTCAAACCTCTTCAACCCCTTCTATGGGCGCGAGAGGGTTAAATCAATAGATAGTGTTGCTTTAACAGCTATCGTACTAGGCCGTAAATCGGACATATACTCTATGCGGCTAATGTTCGAGGCGCCCTGAACACTAAGCAATACATGAAACGCTATTCTCGCTTCAAGGCTGGGTTTCGAGTAGAGACGGTCTGATCTTCATCAGTAGCACTGTATATACATTTATTACCACTACTGTCTGCTGGTATACAAATTACAGCAAAAATGCCAACGCGAACAAGCTCAAACCCAGCGATTCACCACGACAACTTGCTTTGGTTGCAGAATTGAACACCGGGGAAGTAGTAGCTGGACTGGAGACTGAACTGAAGGATGATGATGCAGCACCAGTCTGGCCAATGCTAGATGACGCCAGATTTGGGATCGAACTGGAAGAAGTAATCTCAGTCTGAGGAGAAGCCGTTTGTACAACAGGTGAAGTAGCTTCCTCACTGGACGAAGTCGACTCCGTAGTATCCGCCACCTTTGTAGAGCCCACCGGTATAGCAGTAGTTTCAGTGACAGAACTCGTACTAGGAGTAGTCTGCGTTTCCGACTGGGGCGCAACAGTCGTTGTCACCGGCACCAGACCCCCAGTGAGCGGAGCCACTGCATATGGGGGGTCGAACATTCCGAAGTTACCGCATGCGTTGCAAGGCGAAGCCCATGATTTGACGGGCTCCGGAGCCACAAGAATAGGATCACAACGGCCGTTAGGTGCTGCCGTTGCGATCACATTGGGAGCTTCGGTTTGTGGGCAGTCTGTACCGAGGTCGTTCAGGGTAAGCTGGCGCGTAGCTGAGTTGGTGAGATCTATGGTCGAGACTTGATCCAGGTCAAGGGGGAAGACTACGCTGGTGCCAGAGGGCCCGGTCCGACCAGCGGTGTTGTAGCCATAGAGGTAGTCGACGACCATGTACACTGACGGTGAGGTACTGTTTGTGGTGATGAAGGTTAGCCCAACAGCAGAGGTAGCACCAGGAGGAAGTTTTTACAATGTGTAATCGAGATGCGAATTGACGTAAGTCGACGGGTAAACGTGGTGTGGCTGGTTCGTTGGCCAGTAGAACAAGTTAACGGTTCCCACGGACCTATGTATAGTTAGTAATCCTTTCCGACCCTATTTTTATTCTGTAACCCTTTTAGACATACATGCTGCAAGTGGTTGGACAGGGATTTGGAGCTTCCGTAATAGTCGTCGGCACGGTAATTGTTCTCGTAGCCGTTGTAGTATCGGTAGTTGTTTCCGTAGTTGTTTCCGTAGTGGTATCCGTGATAGTATCTTTGATAATGTCCGTAGTTGTATTCGTTACCGTAGTAGTGGTAGTGAATGCGGTCGTTGACCAGTATGTTTCGACCGTTGAAACTATGATGGTAGTAGTGATAGTGCTATTTAAGCATGCTGTTGACGCTGTCGATACAGTTGAAGTGTTCATCGGCGGTGGCACCTGAACCACAGTAGTGGTGTCGATGGAGGTATCACTAGGGTCGATGGATGAAGTAGGCCAATGATTGATTTGCTCAGATGTACATGTCGTGATACTAGTGCTTGATGGATCATGGACTGGAGAATGTGGAGTGTGAATAGCTTCACCATGTCAGCGCCCGAAAAACACTCTATTGTTTGTCAATTACTTACCAGAGCGCTGGAAGGCGTCTGTCCAGGAGACAAGTAGCACGAGAGCTACCCATTGCATAGTAGACAACATGGCGACGGATTTCATCGCAAGTACACGGCCTAGTATGACACTTTGTAGATACGCGGTATATATGCCGAGCGATAAACAAGAAAGCAAGGAACAGGCACCTCTAAAATAAAAGAACGAAATAAATGTAAAAATAGCGGTAAACAATGGTCCTACAAGACCGACACTAAAAATCTCGTGTCAACGTGCTATTGCCTCTTCATGCGGTCATTGTGCCTAACACGCGGGGCGTATTAACTTAGAATGGCAAGGACAGGCATTTTTACTAGCCAGGAAGGGCAATGATTTTTTTGGAAAAACCGTCGAGCTTTACATCACATCCGAAAACGAGGCTAAAGAAAGCTAAACAAGGTCGCTGGTTCCTGATTTGAAGGTGGAGCAGGTTTTTGGCTGACGCTCAGCCGGTTTTGTGAACCCGGCCGTGCGTGGGCTTCGACCTGTCAAAGTCGCCCGTTGCCCCTGAGTCCCGACAATGCCGATCTGCATGAATCAATTGGTTCGGAGATATTAAATTCGGCAGTGATGTGGCAGTTCAAACCTACGGCCTAGACTATGGCTGCTGCAGGTTCCTGTCGTCACACGAGCCACATGGAAATTATTTTTGTATTCCTGTACCCTGCAGACACACCTCAGATGCGATATCTCATCTCGTCAAGATGCATTCGAAAATTATGCTACAGTTAATTTTAATGATTCCTTGGATGCTAAGATGTTTGGCGACTGACACATCTGCCCTCGTTATCTCTCCCAGCGAATATTTGTATTTCCACCGAACTGTCCTGGATTGTGTACCATCTGCTAACATTCATAAGTGAGGGGAATGATGGACCCTGGAGCAGCTTTTATCTTCGCGTGGGGTCCCCGGAGCAGTCCGTTCGAGTGCTTGTCTCTACGGCTTCCCCGGAGTCAATGGTCGTCTTGTCAGACTATGGTTGCTCTAATTCAGTGTTTTCCAACGCGCCATCAGACTGTGCAGTTTCCAGGGGAACCTTGTTCAATGCGAACCAGTCCTCTAGCTGGGACGAGCTGGGTCTTTTCGGTATTAACCAGAATGGGGTTGGTCTCGAGGCCAACCTTGGATACTCTCAAAGAGCAGACTTTAGTCTAGATACTCTGAGTATTGGTCTCACTGGTCCGACGCTTAAAAATCAGACTGTCGCCGGGATTGCAACTCCTAAACCTTTTTATCTGTAAAGACCAACTCCATTCCTGTACTTTATGGTTCACTGATCCGAGTACCGACAGTGGAATATTCGGCCTGAATCCGCAGCCCGTCAACTTTACCTCTCTGGGAAATTTCTCTTCGCCCTCATACTTTACTACCCTCAAAGATGAAGGCACCATTCCGAGTCTCAGCTGGAGCTATACGGCCGGCGCCAAGTATCGTAAGTATTCCGGTCCCATGGGCAAAGGCGCAGCTGAATGTGTCTCTAATCTGTCATTTCGACCTAGGCTTGAAACAAGTCTATGCTCAACTCATCTTCTCCGGATATGATACATCTCGATTCACTGCGAACTCAGTATCATTCTCCATGGCCGATGACGTCACCCGTGACCTAGTTGTTTATCTTCAGTCCATCAGCTATAGTGGATCAACTTCAGCTATATTACTATCGGATCCAATTTTGATATTCATTGACTCCACCGACCCCAACCTCTGGCTTCCGGAAGCTGTCTGTGACGCATTCGAACAGGCCTTCGGGCTTACCCTCGATAGTGAGAGTGGTCTATACTTAGTAAATGATACTCACAATACCGAATTACTCAACTCGAATGCGCAGGTCACATTTCGACTTTCCGATGTGGCTTCCGGCGGAGACGCCGTGACGATCACCCTTCCGTATGATGCCTTTGCTCTGACTGCACAAGCTCCGCTAGTCGACAACAGCAGCTACTATTTCCCGCTGAAACGTGCAGCCAACTCAACTCAGTATACTTTGGGTCGAGCTTTCTTGCAAGAAGCGTGGGTACATAACGCTTCAATACCCGCACATACGCTGACTTCTTCAGATATCTCTCAGCCGATTACGAGCGAGGCATCTTCAATGTATCGGCATGCGCTTGGGACGAAAACGCGGAGGAACACATCGTCACTATCAGTTCCAAGGATTCTGACTCCGCCTGCTCGGGAAACTCATGCCCGTCCGCTGGAGGGAGTTCCGACGACTCTTCGTCCCTGAGTAACGGCGCAGTGGCTGGTATCGCGATTGCGGCACTGGTTGGAGTCGCCATTCTCGCGGCGGTCTTGTTCTTTTTCATCCGCCGTCAACGCCAAAAGACGGCATACAAAGCGACTCTGCCAGAGACAGATGTATCTGTCCTTTCCGGCCCGGTGCACAACGCTCCCCCTCCTCCTCCAGAGTCGTCAGACGATTCTGCATCGCAGACAAGATTCTGGTCTCCGGAAGCCATCCTGAACAGTGTTAGTGACAGTAATTATGGCCAAAGTAGCAGCAGTGGCGGGAATGGGAACCATGAGCAGAGTGTTGATGAGAATGGGATGGAATTAGATGGCGACGGAACACAGATCCAGCCAGTTTATCACGAATTGGATGGCAGTGAAGTCGGAAAGTGATGGGTAGAGGTCCTTCCTTAAAGCTTGCAACCCGTTTTCAAACTGGCACAGGAAGTGGCAGAGGCCTTCTCATATGCCCTTGATTTCCGATGGCTCTGTCTTTTCTCTTTTGAGCCTGCATATACAGATTTTGATTGATATAACTACTTCCTCTACAATATACCACCATCTATTACGCCTCCATAATGTGTTGCTCTTTGCGAAAATCCTCGGTGAAATTGCTGATCTGCCTGGTTTAAGTCTGAAATCGGTCATAAAAATGGTTTACACATAGGGTAGAATCAGATGATTGTCATACTCCCCGCCCATATGCACCCAATGTTTTCCCTATTTTCGGATATGCTCAGTTGTACCAAAGTTAGAAATCTCCTGGTAAAAGCCACTGGTCCGCAACTGCAGACTCTCTCCCTGCTCATACTCGAATCCATTCCCCAGATGCCAATTTCTAGTCGCACTACAGATCTAGGTTGGACCTTTCTTCCTTCTCATTACTGCAAAATGGGCAGTTGATATGTATGGAGCGAGATGTATCGATGGCGCGGTTTGAAGCCCGGAGTATTCCTGTGGGCACTGGTAAAGAATGACCTCTGTACGCTTATCCGCCGGGATCTCGGAGATCTTTGAGACATGAAGGTTGTCCCGGGGAATATTGAGCTTCAGAAGTTGATCTACTGAAGCAGATGTCTTGCTCAGATTGAGGAATATATCCATGTCATCCAAATCATTATGTACAAACTTGCCTTTGGTATACCAACTAGCTGCGCACGCTCGGTGAAGCCATAAGTGAATTTCGCGATATCCTTTTGGATCTGTAGACCTGTATGAGATGGCACTTGACTGAGGGACTTTGTCAAGTGTCAATCCACCGTTGGCAGTGAGGTAAGTTTTTTTGTATACGGTGCGAGGAAGTGGAAAGTCGTCATAAACCAAATTCTCTAACAGCGCCGTTGCTCCATATTTCAGGATTGCCATTCGCACGTGAGTGGTCGACTCCCAGCCATTCTCAATCCTCTTCAAATATCGGTCGAAGAAGGACACAAGCTCAAGGCGAGCTTCTTGGTTTCCCCAAATGCCATATGACTCCTGGTATGGATGCCAGCGAAGCCATTTGTGCGGCGAGTTGACCTCTAACCAGCCTCGGATTGCTCCTATTCCATGCATTGTGTTGGTTCATGTGCCGGTAATGTAGGTAGGAATGCTGGTCTTGGTCATATCGGGTCGCTTGTCGTTCCACCAGTCATTTGCAAGGGGGTGCTGGTCAAACATCTTTCGGAAGCTCTCAATCCCATTCCGTCCTCGCCGGATACAATCCAAAATGAGACGGTCAAACAGGTCACTACTTAAATACCACCTCGAGCAAATTGCTCAAGATACAGGTCTCCACATCCTTCCTAAGGTACGATGGCTTTCAGAGATGGCGGTTGCAACGCAGAAATAAACCGTTGCACAATAGCAAGGTGTGAGTGGCCTGCCATTCCGACGTTTCCATTGCACCAAGACTGTTGAGCAACCCACTCAATCAAGTCGTACCCATCCTGCGCTTCCTGTGTTCCCACCATCGCCATTTTCCCTTCAGAATCGAATGCACCACGCAAGTCCACGTTGATAACGGCATATCCGTGATCAACGAACTCTGCAGGATCGGGGGCTTCGAACTTCTCCAGTCCGCTCAGTGTTCCATCGGGGACTCCGAGATTCCACTGTGTCATGGGCCGCAGGGACCCAATTCCATTGAACCTTTTGCCGATCGGGCTCCAACCATTTATGTATGAAAAGAAGGCGTAGGAGGTTGTAGAGGGGCAAGGGCCGCTTGACGTATCAAAGCGGCTCAATTTAACATGCTTGGTGATAAATCACAAGCGAGCCCTAACTGAGTCTGAGCCTAGATTTAAATATACTCTGAGCCTGACTCTACTCTAAGCGCCCTAAGAATAGCGGCAGCCAAGATGGAGAAACTCCACTCGATAGAGCAAATATGATACGTATAGTACCTTATGTTCTCCTGAAATGATGACGCGACTCTTGTTTAACAAGAATTTTAGATAATGCCCTGTACGTGCCGCTGACATGGCCGTATTGTTCTAGCTCCAGATCAACCCCGCTCTGGTCCTATATTTGTTTTTTTTGTTTTTTTTTTGTTTTTTACCAGCTCCATCTTCTCTATGTTCCATCTTGCTACTCATCGCCTCTAGTAGCTTTAACGCCTCGTGGTCATCAGAGGTAGCTGTCTAATGGGATGATTTGTAACACCACACATTTTTGCTGACTGACTAACATGACACGAAGCCGTTGCTGAAATACGAACATACGGAGGGGACAGTCCCGGTTTCGCGGGCCTGCGGGCCCGGAGGATAGCGCGATTCTCGCGAAGATTGAATTCATACACCGTGTCTACATTCGTTTTCTACCTATTTTGTATCTATACGATGAGCCCTCAGGGAAGAATGTTAAATTTACAACGAATGAAATTCAACGATGAAATTTAGCTGCAAATCGATCGTAACTTAAACCTAATATTTTAGGAGTTCAGAAGTATCAACCATTGAATAACGCAAATATAGCACCCATAGATAATACATAGTGGAAATGAGCACAACATAGTAAGTATCATGGAATGCAACATCAAGTGACGTAACCCGTAGGCGTGTTGTGTAACCTACCGCATATTGCTTCACTCTGCAACCCAGTAGAAATAATTATCCACGTCACGGAGTCTCTAGGAAGCACGCATTGATCTTTCGCAACTACAGAGGATCGACAATGTACAGGTGTCGACACATCAGCGTTGATTCACCGCAACGCTATCCTTCATGTTAAAAGCCTCTTCCAGGAGAAACCAGAAGTTCTCCAAGAATCAGTCTCTGTATTCCTCCAATATCACTTCTTCCTCAGGCATCTTCACCTTACCTAGTTCACAGGCTCTATCCTGCAAACACTAGAACCCTTCTTTACAATCACTCTCAATGCCCTCCGTATCACGGGGCTGGCAGATAAATAACGCATGACGGGGTTGCACGATTATTACCAAGGTTTAGCAAGTAACAGAAAAGGATAGTTGCCATTTCGAGTGAGCGAGGAGCCTGAAGTCTGAATGAGTGGTTCCTCGCTGATGGATGCATTTTAGGGTGGGATCTGACATCCTACGGGAACAGAATTATCGTAGATGTACGGGCTTTTATTGCATAAAGAGGATGGAAGTAAAAACGGTTTATTTTGAGCTAGAAGCCTATGTAGCGGGAGCTGGCAGCGATGGCCTGGTCGAGATATGATGCATAGCCATAGGACTAGGCTCCTGAAATATTGAATTATGGCACATGCCTGCCGCTTGATTTCGTTTTTCGCTCTTTCGAATGCAGACTTCACGGCGATGGAGTATGTACTGAAGGAAAAAGAATCATGATATTAAAAAGATGAATTATCCTAAAAGCAGATACCAATCTTTTTGCAGCATGTACTGGAGCCAGAATGATGTATTGCCGTTATCTCGTGCACACCAGAGTTCTTCGAGAAGTTGAAGAGCATGAAGATTGGTAGGAAGCCGGTTCAGCGAATACATGGCTCGAAGTCTCTCGCGAACTTCATCTCGCAGGAAGTTATTTGATTCAGCCAATTCAGCCCCAGTGGCAAGGAGAAGAAGTGATTGGAAATTAAGGTAATTTGAGGTTGCTGGTATCTGCATAAGATGGCGGACAGTGTCTTCGGCATATTTCTGAATCAAGGATTGCTGATTTTGGAACATCATATCCGGATTCGTGAAACGATTGTTCTGACCACTGGCTCGATAAAGAAAAATGAGGCCATATTTGCGAAATGCTTCGTATAGATGCCCTAGGCTAATGTTTGGAGGACACGCCTGCCAGCAGTAGAGCTGTTGCTCAAATATGGCTTCTTGGGTGAAATTGCGGTGCCTAGAATCTAGAATCTGCCGGCAGTATCTTCCCACATTTCCCAATATGAAAAGAAGGCCGGTGCACGGTCCGTACATTGGATGGTGCCAGTTACCCATCTTGTGGATCGCAATTGACATATTAAGCGAATCGATAATTTGGTCTTCTTCCGGGTCTACCAAAAACGCGCTGCACATATCCCAGTAAAGATACATCCCAAGACAGAGCCGGGCTAGAGGGTCGTTAACCAGGTCAGAGGCGTTCTGGAGCATCCTGTTGATTAAATTTCGAGCCGCAAACAAATGCTGCTTGCCGTAATCCTTCATGTCACAATCGGCGCTTTGCGCCAAAGACAGCAACATAGTGGTAAGAAGAAATGCTTGTGGCTTGCGCTGGTTCTGCTCTACCTCCTTCCGAAGGGAAACAAGGGCTTTGCCTCTTTCCTCGAGGGCGATGATGGGGCTGTGTGCAGAGAAATATTTTTCGTGGCTGGCGCTGAGCGATTGGATGATATGAACAAGTGCAGGTGATTGGGGAATATATTCCAAGGCGGGGAATGAAAACGGGTTGTCCTCAGGGTCAATCACCAACATCTGACTGACTTTCTCCAGCCAGTATTGTAGCAATCGTCGATTAATAATTGCCGTAGGTTGCAGCGAGAACCAAGGCGTCTCGACTTGCCACTGTGTGAGGCGTGGGGCAGGTAGGCAGATCAGACCTAGACGCGCGCACCGCCGACATGTCGGATAGGATTCGTCACACTTGACACGCTTTGTCTTGCATTGTTGACAGCCGAGTTTGCTCTTCGTCTTTCTCGCGGACTCTGCCGAAGTGTGCTGGAGTGTGCTCGGGGACGGTGCGTGTCCTGCCGAGTTAATTACTGGCCCGAAACGCAAACGGGCAAAGGGCATAGTCCTTGCCTTTGTGTCTTGTTCCTTTCGCACCGGACCGTAGGAAAATCAGGCCTTAATAGCCCTCTGAGACGACAGGTCCGGATTTTGTAAGTGGGTTTGTACGTACCCCATTTTGAAGGTTGAAATTGACGGTAACCGCGAAGCCCAACCTTCAGATCACGTGGAGGCGAAGAAGTAGTTCCACAGACTCGGCCCCAAAATACGAAGTTATAAACTAATAGCGACGTGTAAAAATTGGAAAATACTGCATGATCAAGGACTCGGTAAATTGACTATCACTCCCACACTGCCGCCCGTTTTTACACCCGTTTATATATGCCAAATCAACAGTGACGAAGTCAACAAATCAGGCAAAAGTCGGCCAAGATCCCAGCCAGCGGCATCGAAACCGGGAAAAGGTAGGGCCTTTGAGCGACACGTGCATGGAAGCTGCGATTCCCACACCACATGACGATAAAAAACGGTTTGAAAAAAAATGGTAAATGTCAGCTTCAATTTTTGACCTTGAGTCTCGGCAGCGCATGGTTAAACAGATTTTCCGGGTCCAGGCGTGTTTTCAAGCCCCGCAGTCTTGCCGCACCCTTCACCCCGAAGAACCATTCTACATCCACCTGATCTGGCGGGAAGAAACTGGGGAATCCGCCTTGCAAGGTAATCCCATACTCATCAATCGATTCTTCCAGCCGTTTGACCCATGTGGTTACTTCTGCAACGTCCTGGGCATCAACGGTGGCTGGTTTAGTTCCGCCATGGAGACCGAGAATGATATGCTGGTACCGGTTCGCAAAGGCCGCCCCAACGTCATCTGCGACCCCATTCCGGACCCCTTTTCCATGGTTATTGTGGATGATTACCGCTGACAGCGGTTGCGGTGGAGGCTGTCGTGCTAGGATGGCCCCAAATCCGTGTTGTAGTCGGTCGACATTCCGACTGCGAAAGAAAGTGGTTGACGAGCAATCGCCCATGCCGTAGGCAGCCGGGGTGGCTAGAAATTGAGCGTGCTGTTAGCTGAAATTACTGCCCTGCAGGAATCGGCTCGGCTGCTCGGAATCTTGGAGATTGGTTCTTACTCTCAGTCACCGTGTTGCCCAAAATTGTGCCGAACTGCACCATCTTACCGAGAAAACCTTTTGCCGGTGCAAGGTCTCCGTCACTCGCAGTCCAGCACCAAAAGAAGATAAAGGAAGGTTCGGATACCGGTATCGGGGTCATTCCGGGATGCGCGGCAATGGCGTCTCCGCTGAATTCATCTGGAAAATTCTCGTTCAGGAGCTTCTCGACTCGGCCAAGAACGGTTGCGGCGTCGGCAAGAGGGAAAGCAAGGAAGCCCGCATATAATCTCGGCACTGTATACACCTTCACGCGAAGCTCAGTCACGACACCGAACGTGCCTGCTCCAGCGCCCCGTAGAGCCCAGAGCAATTCCGGTTCTTGGTTGGTGTCAACAATATGGCCTCCCGCCAGTACCACTCGAGCCCCTAGGATCTGGTCGACTCCGAAGCCGTAAGTTCCAACATAGAAACCATATCCTCCACCACATGCCCACGAGACGTATCCCACGGACTTTGCCTGTCCAGTCGGAGTGAAGAGGCCGTGGGAATTGAGTGTCTCCTGCAGGGCGCCAGCGATCACACCTCCGCCGACTCGAGCACTGTCTCGATTAGGATCAAGCACGATGGTATCCATCGCGCGCATGTCGATGAGAATACCTCCGATGACAAGGGAGCGACCGTAGAAATCATGGCCGCCTGAGCGAACCGAAAATGGGATGGCCTTGGTGGTGCAGAACTGTATCACTTGCGAAATCTCCTTCTCTGTTCGAGGCTGGACACAGGCCAGTGGTTGGTCGCCCAGGGCGTGATTATATACCTTGCAGCAATCCTGGAAGCACGAACTACCTAATGTATATAACGGTATGCTGGGCATGAGACGACTCCAGTTGCTCACAATGATGTTGTCGTCGGACATTTTTAGGCTGATTTCTTAATTCTAATTTTTTTGGTTCGAAGAAGAAAATGAGAATACCGTGGCCGAATTGAAAGGTGGGCATGATATTTAACGACCATAACACATGACATAGCTAGCACCAGCGAGCGCCTACTAGAACCACGGTGGATTTTGTGGGGAATCCTGACCCATAAAATTGCAGAATAATCGGTTCAAACCCACATTAAATCCGCCATCCCTTCCGTTTTCGATTAGAATGCGAGACTTTGACTCAACATGTGTATGTATGTACAATCAGGAGTGGATCCGCGCAAGGTTTACTGGAGAGGGTCTTGTGGATCTTCTCTGCCATGTAAATAAGATAGTCATCATGGTTTCTCCATAAAATAGAGATTAAGCAAGATAGAAAGATAAAAAAAAAAATCCGGTCTTTCCTAACTCTGGTTTCGTTCAAGTTGTAGTGCCTCAAATATGCTCGGGTTTGTAGAGACGGATGAGCCATACATAAGGCCTTAACAAGTCAATAACCTAAATAAATCTCTTATAGGGGGTGCTCATCACGACTGTAGCGTTGCTATGGTATGCTGTAATAAAAAATCGATTTCGTAGCAGGCAATATGGCTACGGTGCGAATGAGGCTGATTTCGTAAATATTATAATATGATTACTTAATAGCTTAAGTATGCTGAATGATTATAATAGCATAGAGATCTCGTACGATCCCTAGAAAAGTTGAGACTTCAACCCCAACATATGACCCTGTGGCCTGGCAAGAATATTCTCTTGCAGCTTCAAATTTCGGTGGTCGGATAACTCGGTTCATATATTTGTGGGAGTGAAGGCAAATCATGGCCATGATGGGAAGAGTGGTACCACTGGTAAATTGTATTATCCATGCCATTGTTGCGTGCTGTAGGGGCGTCTAAATATGAGCTCTCAAGGTAGCCCTTACATTGATCAGGCTGATGGCGAAGCCCCACCTTGGTTGTGCAAAATCACGTAAACGTCGCAATCTGCAATTTAGGTCATTTTAGATAGAAATTTTGTTTAAAGAAATTGGGAGGCCTCGCTGCCGGGGTGTTGGCCTCCTCCGTTGGCGATGAGGGAACGGCTGGTTTTTACCCGTTGAACGTCCACCACGAGGTACAAGTGGCGTCTTGATCTCCAGGACCACATATTTTCTATGCGGGTAGTACGTGTGGCTGACTGCATGGGGGAAAGCTTTTAACCTGGCGGTTGCACTCGAAGTTCCATCGACTCACAAGACGTCCGATGAGCCATTAGGGGGAACGTAGAGTTGTTAGGCCGAAGGCGGTCTAGAGTAGTTTAACTTTCAGACATTGCCCCTTTTGGTGGCTTCGCCAGGTGAGTACTTAGTGCCAAGCATTCCTGTTGTTACGCCCGGCCAACCATCATACAAAGCCTGATCTGGTAAAATTTTGTTTGAGAAAAATTGCGAACGGAAGTAACAACGTGTATACGGCATATACGCAGAGCTCACTATGTTACTTGCCATTGTAGTTTATTGGATCTCGACTGAAATACAAGACAAAGTTTTAGATTGCGTACCAAGCCCGTGAATATCTTGAGTAGAATGAGATAAACATTGATACGCGAAGAAGAGGATCGACAAATGAAAATCGATTTTGATGTAAACAATTGATCCTTAGGGGGGCAATTGCCTGGGCTTTCGTGAAAAGCAGGCCTGATTTCCGACGCACCCCATCCGAAATTTAATGTACAAATATGGGCATGGAAAGAGACCCAGCCACGGATAGTCGCACTTGTGACCGCGAAAAAACGGGCGATCATTCGAAGGCAGCGTAAACGGCCTTCTCAAATTCGGCCAGAAGTTCGACAGCCCTTTGATCACCCGTTGGGAGAAGCTGGGACAAGTACACACCAGCGACGCCTTTTTTGATGTCGACCCACTGTGGAGATATCAGTAGTCAATAACAAGTACAGAGACTGAGAGAAGCGGAGCTTTAAAAGCCACAAGCAGCAAGCTGTGGTGACAAATACATACCCAGTAGCAATTCGGCAACCCAGACCACGACAGCGAATATTTACTGCGGCAATCGGGAACTTCAACAGTGTTGACCAAACCACTAAGCCCATAGTCGACAGGGACGTAGTTGGGGACGGCGTTGTAAATGGCATTGCGATTCGCCAGACAGTGCTCCTCTGGATTATCCAAGTTCTTGCGGCTCTCAAGGTGCGGCTTGAACATCAGTTCCAGAGTCTCTGGTCGCAGCAACTTGCCTTGCATAACACCTAGGTAGATCTTGAGTAGCTCAAAAACATTTGCGTAAATACCTCCCCCTCCAATGTCATCGACGACCGGCTCAGGCCACCAAAAGTCGGTGACCTCTTTCAGTCCGTCGTTATCCCGTTCCCACAACTTCACTTTTCGCGACTGAAGGTCTGATCTCTCGTTGAGATGGAAGGTGATGTCGCTAGCTCCGACAGGATCAAACATATTCTTCTTCATATATTCGCCTAGTTTCATTCCGGTGACATACTCGACCTGGTTGTGTTCTCGTCAGTTGGGTTTCACGGCGCGAATGTATTCAGGCCGCTGGGCCTTTCAAGCACTCACCATCAGTCCAGCCCACTCGAGTCCAGGACCATATAGCCATTGTTCTCCAGGCTCAAATACCAGAAACGTGGGGAATGATTCCCTCTTTTTACGAATTTATTAATAAAATGTGTCAATATCTGACAGTGGATGGACATACAATTGTCTGCAGCAATAGAGGTCGCTCGCCTTGAAGTTCCTGGTAGCGAACCGCCAGCGGATGCATGAAGGTGTAGGCTAGTCCACCTGAATGCGTCAGGAGAAGTCTTGTAAAACCTAGGCTTAGCGACTGGAAACTTGTGGAGTGTGATGTCTAAGGCAGCATACCGGAGAGTGAGTGGCCGTTTTGCGGGTCGGAATTGGGGCTCATCCTTCTCATTAAACCCAATCAAGATTTTGGGATGCTTCCACTCAGGCAAAATGCAGGATATGTCTGCGTCCAAGTCCAGCAGGCCACTTTCAACGCACTGCATGACAGCGATGCTTGTGATGAATTTGGTTGCAGATGCAATCCAATGCACGTCATCAGCTCTGGAAGATTCTTCCGAGTCACCACTGAAACACTTGGCGTAGTGTAGAGTTCCTAGGCTTCTTTAGAGACACGGCGACCAGGTAGACACCATTTCCATAGGAGACTTACCATCTCGATTCACGGCACCAAGAGTGACGCGAGGTAGGGGGGGTCCATCCTGACGAAGGAAGGATTCAACGACTTGGTCTATAGCTTCCATTGTGAAAGGAGGTGATTTGCTTCTTTGAGTATGTGTGTTGGGTGAATGATAAGTGCAGTCTCCAAATGGAACACCTGGAACACCCTGCTTTAATAGACTTCACCTCACTGACAGGGGCAGATTTTCACTCCTGTGCCAACATCCACTCAGTCGAGCCATTGAATCCTTGATTTGCTACGAAAACAGAGATAAAACATGGAAACTTATACAGAATTGTGGAGATTTGGGAATGGCAGCAGCCCAAGGATCGACCCTCATTCCCGTACTTAGCGTGTGTTACACGATGGTGCTCTGGGTGCTGGAAATCCGGTCTCGTAGCCACCTGTCAATGGTTGAGGGGTCCATCCGATGGTTGATATTTGGTAACGCATGAGCCAATCAGGAAACGCAACCTCCTTTTTGCGCAGATTTGTAAGCCGAACCTCGCAAAGTGGCTGAAAGTGGAAAGTAAACACCCGACTAGTTCGGGAAAAAAATGACATGGCGTGGTTCTGCCTACGCCTGGGTCCAACACTGTGCCATCGTATAGTGGAGTAGTCGAAATTAGCCACAATTCTCCGTGATTTTAGACTTGAACCCTTCCACTTTTTGGGGTTTCTTGCTTGTAGGTGATAGGTTACTTTCCTTAACAGCATAGTCATGCCAGATGGGGATTCGGATGATCTTGAGGATAACAGTCCACAGGATGATGCTTAGCAAGGCACCTTCCTAGGCTGCTTTGTCGTAGGTCTTTGGTTCAAATACGCATTAATGTATCCAGATGCCTGCATTTTTAAAATAATGTATTAATTCAGAATGAAGTACCGTTGAAGGTGTGAGGTATAGTCGTTTTCTACTCAAAAGTCTGCTACGGCAATGGCGGCGGTGAACCCTAGGTGATCGTTGCTCCTATTGGTGGCTATGGTAAGTGACTGGAAAATGGTGGAACAACGCATTTTCCATGTAGCATTTGCATGAGGCGTGATACTTGCTTTGCCGGGACCGCAAAGAATACTGATAATTGAGGTGTGGATGGCGGTTCTATTCTCCAAATGTTCCTTGCACAGACGATGGAATGTAGCTGTCATCTGGATATTACGCCACCTCAGTTATGATTTCCAAAATTCAGCAGAGTGCAATATAGCTGAACACGCATCATTTCAAAGAAAAGGATCGACCCCGTGTTCCACAATGGCTTGCCTGGACTGTGTTGATGTGTACTAAATTGAATTTTTGGCGGCATCATAGATACTGGAACAAGCTGCATGTATCCTGGGCCCCCACCTTTCAGCGGGGACTGATGATTTTGGACGTAGAGATCTTGATTGAACCAAAACAATACGAGAGCGGGGCCCGTTGGGAGGCTTTGCTATATAAGGGCGGTGGCACGGTTATGATCCACTGAACTTGCCATTCTGGGCCGCAACGCGAGAGGCTCATCTCACCGCCGAAAATTAAGCTTTTTCCGCTGCTAAGTTTATAATGCAGCGTCATAACTTAAGGATCTATCGACATTTTCCTTCCGATTTGGATGGATGGCTGTCAAACTCAGCTCTTCACATCCGGAATCCCTTTGGTGTGCTTATTCATCTGTAATCAGATGAGGGAGTTCGAGGCGTCCAGAAGTTAAGGTCATCCAAGCGCTTTGGACACTGGCAGAGTCTCTGTTACGGGGCATCCAAGGCATTAGTGTCAGTAGGGTGGGCAGATTCCTCTCTAAAGGTGTTAGCGTAGTGGAAGGAACCTTGATCCATTATATTTAGTAAAAAGCAAACTTTCATGACAAAGACAAAGAAGTGATTTTGTAATGCTTTTTACTGTCTTTGTTGATAGCGCCCAGTGATAGCGCCCAGTGATAGCGCCCAGTGTAACCTGTGGGAAGGGCTTCTCGTCTCCCATATGGATGACGCGGAGAACTGACGGTCCCGTCGAAAGAGGCCATGCTGGCAGAGATTCAAGATGCAAGAGAAAATAGAGCTATTTTGGTCATTTAGTCTCGACCAGTTCGCGGGTTGTTGTCCCTCTATACTGCAGAAGAACCTCGTTACCCTATGGTCGAAGTTGGTGGGTCAGATGGGTCTTCTCGATCTCCTCCGCCGAAGGCCAATACCGGGTTCGCGATCTGGCCAAACTAGGAAACTGGCGTTTTTCCTAGGATGAATCGACGATAAGCGCCATTAAAGGCCAGAAAAAGCACGTATTGTGAAACTTTATTACTAATGTTAACTTTCTACGTGGGGATTGCGAGGGCCACACGCGTCTCGAGTTTCTGTCAACAACAATTGCCATTGCCAAAAAGAAACTTCCCGCGCTGTCGTGTTACCTTGGTCTTTTTGCTCTGAGTACGAAAGGTCGTGAAGACAAATAAACTTCCTGTTGAGATACTTCCTCCCAAGATGTCGCATTTCGTATAGTGTTCTGGAATGCGTCTCGCGTGCTCGCTTGCCGACCGAAAATGGATTGATAATCCAGAGTACAAATGTACTTGAAGTTAGCCAATGAACTTAATTATCATTAACTATTCAGCTTACCTAGCTATTGGTCAGGGTAGACGTTTTAGTAAGCTGAATCAACGACCGCGCCACAGATGGGCTCTACTTAGGCTGAAATTTGGCGCAATTCATCGGTTCGACCTCAGAAAAATTTTCGCACTGACGTTCTATGCTGCGGTCGGTCCGATCAGTCCGTGCCTTACAAAGCCAAATGCGAAGACAGATAGGCTTACAGTACGTCTCTAAACTGCTGTCACCGCCTACACTCTGATTGTTTCTTGGCCCCCGGTGCCAAGATCAACTAGACTGTATTATGGGAAGCTCCGTAATAGCGAAACTCCTGTATCATCATTTATACGACTGTTACTGAACATAGCTCGTGTTCGGAACTTGTACGGGCAATCCGTAATAGCTGGTATTATCCATAAAAATCACCCAGGTCAAACACCAAGAGCGGAATATAATGAGAGCAAGACATTTTCTCTGTCTTCTCGGGCTACTTGGCTATAGACTGAGAGTACACTAGACTATGAATCTTAGTTATGATGTTAAAAGCTTAAGTACTTATTACCCTCTGGATACTACGCCTAAGATATACTAAGACCTATTTCTCTAAAAAGCAATAGACACTAGATACATCCTTATTTCCCACTCATAGTATCGACTAACTTCCTAGCCATAAGCAACACGAACCTCGTAGCAGTACCATACATCTCATATCTCTATTCCCAAGGGTCCACGATCAGTTTCTCGCTGCTGACTCCCCTGATCAGTACGTCCAATGCGTGGTCCAATCCGGCGAGTCCGCCAGGGATCTTTCTCGCGGGGACAGGGATCAGGCTCTCCTGGGCAAGAGCTTGCGGAAAGTATGTGCCAAAAGTCCACTCGAGCAACTTTGCATGCTCTTCCTTGCCCAGCAGCAGCGACCAACTCTCAAAGTTGCGTGTAACACCCGCAGGCAGGATTTCAGGGCCAAACGCGGGCTGGAGTGCATAAAGTTTTCCTCCTCCTTGCGCTGCAAGAACTTCTCCCGTGATCTTGATTGTCTCCGAATTCGAGATGGTATCGACAACAATATCGTAAGCGCCCGCCGCAACGAGCTCTTTGACAGTCGTCTCGAAGGGCTGGGTATGGTCGATGACTCGAGAGGCGCCGAGATGGGATACAAAAGCTTCATGTCGGGGGGAGGTTGTTGTGATGACGTCGTACCCGGCTTGCGTGAGGTACTGGACCGATAGACTACCTAGGCTGGAAGTCCCTCCGTATATCAAGATTCTCTTGCCTTGGAGTTGTGCTGAAATGCCGGGACCGGGTCTTGCCAAGTTCAAATTCGCATTGAACAAAGCAGAAACGGTGGCCAAGTTGCCAACCAGGCGAACCGCAGTGTCGAGGGCGGCATCGCTCGGTAGTTTGGTAGCCGTCAGTGCGCGGCAGACCGCGTACCTCTGAAAGGCGCTGTATTTGTTCCCGGTGGTCCCGGCCGTCTTGACTGCGACAACCTTGTCGCCAACGTCAAAGCCGGTAACCTCGGCGCCGACTCCAATGACGGTGCCGGCAAATGAACTGCCGAGAACAGCTGGGTACTCGATGGGAAGCATTGCGAATCTCGCTATCTTCGCGTCAATTGGCATGAGTGCAATGATCTCGTTTTTGATAAGGAGCTCATCGGGACCAGGCTGAGGTGTTTCGATCTCCTGGACCTCTAGGGGAGCCTTGGGGGCGGAAACGACGGCTGCTAAATGAGACATGATGTAGGACTTTGGAGAGACGATTTTGTGACTGATAGATATTCTGTTACCTGATGGTCAAGTGCAGATGATCTGAGATATATGTCGAGATGGGCGACGACTATGCGACTAATAAATACTCTGCTTCCTACGTGACGTGATCCAGGCAACGATTGTATTAATGCGCTAGAAAGATAGGCTTCATAAGCAAAGTGGAACATAACAGAGGCCATTTGCTCGAAAGTCAGCTCACCTAGAATACTATGGCAGTAAGACGTGTGGTGATAATGAGGGACGTATAGATGTTGATAATCTCGATCCCTGACTGGTTGTTCGGAGTCTTGACATTCCCGAACCAGGTTCGAGCGCTGCCAGAATTTGTAAGCCTTACGAGATCGGTCGGCATGTCGGCTATGTTTCTTCCGTCATTCCGTCATCCGTGTCTACCTTTTATAATATATTAGTCTTAGTCTTTGATAAGTATTGGGTCGCTTTTTATCGGATGCCGAAAACTAGTAATCACCGTCTACCCTCCTCCATTGTGGCTCCTTCGGTGCCAGAGTCCGCCTCAAAGCTGCCATGCACGGCATGCAGAAAGAAGCTCCTCAAATGTGACCGGGCTTGCCCGAGGGCGGCCGTTGCTTGATGTTATGGAAAGACTGCATCTTCCTAACCCACAGAAAAGCGAATAAAGCGAAGTGAAAACAGGTCCGTGGGCTCTAGGAGAGTATGGGTGAGTATCAGCGACGCAGTGATTCATGGATCTGGGGCCCGGTTGAGCTGACAGGAACCTTGTCTGTTTTCCCCGTCCCGACGCGATGTCGCCACATTCTTCACGTACAAATAGAATATCGTACGCCTGATTCTACCAACCCTTTGTGCCACCTGATGCACCGCCGCCATCCCAAAACCAGAACTAGGATGAGGTCTAAAGCTTATACTGAAACTCCAGAATCCCACGTGGGTAACACTTGGAAAAGCTGGAATTTTAGAATAAAGAAGCATAGTTATGTAATATGACTGATACAAACACAGACAATTAGCCAGTTTCATACCTAATAATGATGATGTCCAAACTATACTAACAGCAGACCACTCGGCAGCTACACAATTAAACGGCAGAGGAACAACATCTGTCGGTCTTTGCTAGATGCCCCTAGCCCTAATCCCGAAGCAAGAAAGATCTAAGTTTTCTCCGAGCCCTATATATCCTTCTCCACTCGTGGTAGAAAGTATATCGTTGTAATTCTAGCCCTGCTAAGTATTTGCATCTTTAGCTTCATAGGTATTTCATTCTTTTATCCTTAAATGCGATCTATCATGGAATATACAAGATAACATTAAACATGCTTTTGGCAATAACGATGATGGGTGGATGATTACAAACAACTTCTGCTGACTGCAGGGCTCGATGCGTCGAGCAAGTCACGAATAGACGAGCCAGGTTGTTGAACTTAGAAGGAACGCAAACCTGACCAGGTATTCCCGCCAAAGTGACGAATTATGGGCTGGGGATTTCGCTTGTCCGGGCGACGAAGTAGCAGTTCTCGGGGGTGGATACAGAACACAGAATGGATACAGAAGCTGAAGTTGAAGAAGAGCGATGTCATCTATTCGGCAGGGAAGAATACGTAACTATGGGGTCACTATCCGCAATAAAAACAATGAATATAATAAGGTAACTATGAAAAACCATTCGTAATAAGCTCAGGCATGGTGACTACCACCTTCAGGGCGCCATGCTTGGAGGATGCCTCGAATGCTTCGTAGGCGTTGTGGATATCATCAAACGCAAAGCCTACGCAATAATTAGCATGATCAAAGTGTAACGAGGTTAACGAGACGCACTGTGCGAGACCAGAAAATGAGGATCGATGCCACCGGCCTCAACCATCTTAAGTAGATCAGGAGTACTAACAGCGTCAATAAGCCGAGTCCTCAAACCTAGCGAGAAAGAGTCAGTAATGAATGACTAGCACAGAGAGAAGTATATGAGATGTATACATATATTGCGATTCCACAGCTTTTCCAAGTGCAGCTCGCAGGACTCGCCGAAGACACCAAGACTGGCTATGGTCCCCCCAGCGCCTACCAGAGCTTGCGCGATCTCGAAAGACTCAGCCGTCCCCACTGCTTCAATAACCACATCGAACCCTCGCTCCTTGGTCACCGCTAGAGCTGAAGACATCACGGAATCCTGTCCATCGAGGACACTGAATGTATGATCAGCGCCCATGGACTTGGCTGTCTCGAGTCTAGGACTACCCCTCCCCACTACCACCGTCATCGACGGACCGAACAGATTCCTCGCCATTTGGAGGATCATCAACCCAATCGGGCCTGTCCCAATGATCGCGACGGTAGACCCGGGCTGAATGTTACCGTTCAGGATCCCACATTCATAAGAAGTCGGGACAGTATCAGACAGAGTAACCGCGACTTTCTGGTCGATGCTCTCCGGCAGCGCATGCAGCGAGAACGGGGCATGAGGAATGCGGACGTACTCGGCCTGGGTGCCGTCAATCGTATTTCCGAGAATCCAACCACCGGACTCGCATTGAGACGGCATCTTCCTGCGGCAGTAATGACAGGTCCCACAGCTGGTAATGCAGGAGATGAGCACCTTTTGGCCGACGGAGAAGTTCGTAACAGCTGCGCCGAGAGCTTCTATGAGGCCGACTCCTTCATGGCCGAGGATGCGGCCTGGAGTACATGACGGGACG